GGACCCCCACTGCAAGCTGCAGCACTGGTTGTGTCCAGAGTTCCCCGGAGCCCACAGCGGGGGCCCTCGCTTTCTATTTCCAAAGCTGGTTTCTCGAAGGAGAGCGTCAGGGCCATGGGCGGCCGGGCTGGGCTGGGAGAACCGCAGGCACTCACGATCCCTGGCCTCAGTCCACCTTTCAGTCCGAAAGGGCGAGGGTGATCCGGAGCCTGGCCTTACCCGGCGGGGCTTGGGCGCCGCCCGCTGCAAATGCTGGACGGGAAGCAGGACGTGCCTGAGATGCGCCGACGTGGCCTTGTAAAATGCCCATGGGGAGGCCGGACCAGCACGTCTGTGGCCGTGACTTCTGTGCTTTAGGTCGGCTGGAGAAGGGACCGCGCCGTCCCGCTGGGTGTTACTGGAATTTTTTATTCCATTGTCATTAAAACCACACTTGTCCGTCGTCGTAGAGATGTTGAAAGCTACTAAGATCTCTAAAGGAGGAAATAAAAGTTAACTGCAACCCCTTGCTCATGGAAACCGTGCCAATGCCACAGCCACGCCGCTGCCCGCTGCTGCCCGCCAGTGCCCCCAAGTAAACGACTAGCTGACCGTTTGGGTGCATTTACCTGCCAGGGTGTGTTCTGTGCAAACTGTCGCTACAAAGTGGCGATGACACGCTGCTCTGTTAAACTTTTAAACGTAATCCAGGAGGAGGGGTGGGGGGGACAGGGTGCCACGAGGAGCCAGGCGGGGATGCAGCGAGGCAGGGGCTCTCCCAGCCTCTTCATCCGGGAGGCTGCCAAGGAGCCAGGCAAGGGAGGGAGCCGACAGCGTCAGGCTGGGGAGGAGGAAGCGCAGCGGCCCTGGCCTGCAGGCCGTGGTCATCTCTGGTCAGCAGCCCAGGGAATTCAGAGCCTGCATGGTTTTGCGCCAGCAGGGGGCCGAGTCGGGGCAGAGGTCCCCTGTGCTTGCAGACTCTGGCCCCAGTGGTCAGGGCAGGCAGCTGCGCCGCTGTCCCAGCAGCGTCCGCCATGGTGACCTGGAGCGGTGTCTGGACAAAGCGTGTGCGCCGCAAGCTGTGGACGTCACCCGATGTGTCAGACCCCGAAGAAACAGAAGCCGCCCTTCCCGGCCAGCGGACTCAGGCTGTCGACGTGTCCTTTTCCCCAGAACTGACCTCTGGATTCAGCGCAGCGCTCGCCAGCTCCAGTTCCAGCGGCCTGTTTTTCTAACGGATCAGAAAAAGCATGAGTGGCTCCCGGAGTCAGGGTGGGGAGAGGGCTCGAGGGGCTTCTGGCAGGTCCTGAGTCCGGCCATGCTGCCCACAGGCTGTGCCGGTTCCCTGTGTGGCCTGGGCAGGCCTCGAGCTCCCTGCACCCGGCCTGGGCAGGCTGGAGCGCTCCCCCTTGCCTGAGTACCCCGTTATTACTGACAGAGCGTCGACTCCCTAACTGCGCGCGACTTGCCACCTTTAGGGCTGCCCAGTGCAGGCCCCGCAGGGTTCAGCTCTGCCCCAGCGCACTTGCCCCCAGGCCGGGCAGCGCAGCCTTCGGGTTGGGGCCTCTCCTCCCTTTCTCCAGAGCTCTGTCCACAGCGGTGCCTGCGACGCAAGGTGCATCTGTCTGTCTGTCTGCCCGTCCACTGTCCACTCCGGCTTCTGGGCTCCTCCTCCTCGGCACTCCTGCTGTGTCTCTCCCCAGGGTCTTTTGCACCTCCGGGGTGTGCAGTGCTTCCTGCACCAGCACAGACCCCGCCTGGCCTTTCCTCTCAGGCTGGGGTGGCCCCCCAGGCTCGCTGCTCCGGGGGCCGAGTCTGCGTCTCCTGCCTGGCCCCCCAGGCCTGGACAAGGGCGCGTCCTGGGGCCTCTTCCAGACACTGATCTCCATGCAGCTGCATGCGGGGCTCCCGATGCTGGAGCGGGGGGCAAGGCCCCCAGACTCTGGCGCTTTAGGATTTCAGGGCCGGTGCCAGCCTTGCCCGCTGGAGGGTGGCTCGGTGGGCCGGCAGAAGAGTGCAGCTGCCTGGAGGGAATGAGATGGGATACGGGGAACCAGGGACTCGTGGCCACCAGGACAGCTGGGGGGGGGGGGCTGAGCTCCCACCTCTTGGCACCGCCGTAGTGAGGTGCCACCAGACTGCAAATGCCGCCGTCCCCATGAAGCTGGACCCAGACCTGGCTCAGGCCCAGCCCCCTGGCCGCCGGGGTACCTGACCCGCGGGATCGCGCCTGCTTCTGAGCCGCGGCCGAGGGCTCGGGCAGGATGCCCCGCCGGGCCAGGGCCTGACGAGGTTGCAGGGCTCCTGCCCCTGGCGACGTGGCTCTACCCCACGGAATGGGGTCTCCGGAGCAGCTGGGCCAAGGGTGGTCTCCGAAGCCCCGGGTGGCCTTGTTCACACTCGGTGGTCCTCAGGCCCAGTCGCGTGGACATGGCTGCGCGTGGAGACCTCCTTTCCTGTCCTCCCTGCATGCAGGGTGCATGGGGAGCCCAGGGGCCTCGGGGTGACCTGGCCGCCCTTCCAGTAACACGGACAGGGCGTCTGCTCCCTGGCCTCTAAGAGGGAGGCCCCGTGTCCTTTCCGGGGTGGGCCGACACCGGCTCAAGCCCACGTGCCAGTGCCCAGGCGCTGTCTCCAGCCGCGTGCGACCTGCCCAAGCAGCCAGGCTGCTGAGAAAGTGCCGCTGTGGGAGGCGCCCGAGGAGGGCCGGAGAAGGGCCCGTCCCACTGGCTTCCTCGCGGGCCTCCTGCCCCATTCAGCTCGGCTCGGGCCTTCAGCCCTGGCTGGGGAACCCCTGGCCGGCGGGCGGGTGGCCTCGGGCCTGGGAAAGGTGTGCTGGCGGCTTCCGCTCTCTGCTGTCTGCAAACATGTCCCAGAGGCTTCTGGAAAACAGCTCTCCTTCCGCAATGGGGAAAACAGGGCCACCAGCCTCGCATCTGGGAAGAGCATCCCGGCTGTTGGGACAGAGCCCAAGAGGGCCCGGCCCAGGGCTGTGATCTCCCCTGGCCACCGCCGCGCTTGGAGCCGGGCTCGGCGCGAGCCAGCGCCTGCTGTGTCCCTGCACCGGGCCAGCGGCTGGCACGCGTCTCTTCCCACGGCCGCGGCCAGGCCCGGGCTGTCCGGGCACCTGTGCCTGGCAGCGCTGCTGAAGTCAAGTGGACGAGTGTCCAGGGCAGCTGAGGGCCAAGCGTGTCGGAAGTGCCAGCCGCGGGCATGGGGGCCTGGCCCCGGGGAGGAGCCGAGGGCACTGGGGAATCAGAGAGGCCACCAGAGACAGCCAAGGGGACTCAGCGTGCTGGGTGCCCACGTTTCCCAGCAGAGGTGGGAAGTCCTCACCCCGTCTGGTCCCCTTGCCCAGTGATGGGGATAGCAGTCGAGCTGCTAATGGAGCAGGCTTCCCTGCAGGCAGGGACTCCAGGGCCTGCGCCCTGCAGAGTGGCGGTGGGCCTGCGCCCCTCTGCTCCCCACCTGGCTGCCTCTATTATCACCCCCCCCCAGGTCATGGGGGGCTGCAGGGGCTTCTCTCTGTGGCACTGTCCATAGCACCTGTGCGCCTGCGCCGTCCTGTTCAGCTGGTCCTCTTGTCAGGGACTTGTGGACAAGTAGTGTGGGTGCATGGCCAGCCGCTCCCCTCTCCGAGCCCCACTCCGTGGCCGTGCTGAGCCCCAGTTGCAGCAGTTGACCACAGGCATCCCCAGGAGCCGGCAGAGGGGAGCTGGCATGGGAATCACGCACTGCTGTTAACTGAGCGAGGGCTGGGCGTGGACCAACCCCTGCAGGGTGAGCTGGTGTGGTCGCCCCCAGCAGCGGTGCTGACCTGGTGGCAGGTATGGGAGTCTATCCAAGGTTGGCATCGGTGTATAGCCACATTGTTCACTTGTGTAGAGGGTCCTTCAGGCACAGCTTGATCCAGGAGCCCAGGCAAGGTAGTGGGAGGGTGACTGCCTCTCCACATTCTCAGGCGCTGCCCACACCCCAGGCCACACCCCGAGAGACAGCTGCCTCCCCTGCTGGGCGCGTTGTCCTGTGTGGGGCCCGCAGAGCAGAGGGGCCTCCTCTTTTGCAAAGGAAGAGAGGGATGGACGCTGGGATGGTGCTTCCTGGCCCAGACTCGTGCCCCAGGTCCAGCAGCCCCTGCGAGAGGGCATTTGCCCAGCAGGGGCATGGCCGGGTCACCCATCCCATAGGGGCAGGGGCTGGAATCCTCTGTCCTTGGACTCCCAGTTGAGTTTCTTCTCTGTGCCCCAGGGGCCACTTGTGGAAACAGGCCCAGACTTTCCGCAGAGCCCGGCTTCCTGAGGGCGGTGTGGGTGCGTGGGGCCCGGAGGCTGGGGCCTGGTGACGGGAGGGAGAGAGGCCGGCAGGCAGAGGCGCCTTTCCTGTTGGGGGTCCCATCCTGCGGCTCCTCCCCTGCCCTCAGGTACCCCAGTCCTCTTTTGTGGAGCTCCTGGAGAAGATCCAGGGCCAGAACTTTCCAAAAGAGGTGCAGAGACCTGCCCTTGCCCTGCCCTTGGTTCTGCTCTATATTGCCATGTGGGCACAGGTCTGGGGGCGAATGGAAACGGGGTACACTGCGAACTGTCCCGGGGGGGGGGCTCACTGGCCGCTGTGTGCAGGTCAAAGGAGCGTGCCCAGCGCGCCCCTAGGCATGCTGAGCCCCTGGGCTGCCTCCCTTGAAGCAGCTCCCGCACTGCGGCTCCAGCCACCCGGCTGGGGTGGTCAACCCGCGCCCAGGGAGCAGAGGTCCTGGGAGCCCGGCTGGGTGTTCTCGCCAGCTGAGGACTCAGCAGTGACAAGAAAAGCGTCATAGCCGTGTGGGGATGCGGGGCCCACAGAGGGTCCCCAGGCTTTGCCCTGGGGTGGCTGTGTCTGCGCTTCCTGAGCTGTTCCTTGGCTTCTCCCAAGTGTCGCGAGCTTGATATGGGGGGGCGGGGGCGGGGCAGGGCCGGTTTTCAGTTCACCTGCACCCTGGGGTGCCCCACCTGCTCTGTGGCTGACCCCACTCCCCTCTGTGATTCCAGCCCAGCCAGCAGATCTCCTGAAGGTTCTAGATTTTCACAACCTGCCTGATGGAATAACCAAGACAACAGGTTTCTGTGCGACGCGGCGATCGTCCAAAGGCCCAGACGTGGCATACAGAGTCACGAAGGATGCCCAGCTCAGCGCGCCCACCAAGCAGCTGTACCCAGGTAAGAGCCTCTGGGAGCAGCAGCATGTGTGGGCAGGGGTACGTCCTGGAAGGCGGCCTGGAGGAGCCCTTCTAATGAGCTCCATCCAAGGCCAGTGAAAGCACAGCCTCACGCTCGTGAGAGCACGACCTCCTGCTCGTGAGAGCACACCACAGCATCACCGCTCCGCCCACCACCGAGGCGCGTGCAGGGGCGTCTCGCCTGTTCCCGAGCAGGTGTCTCGCCAGCTGTTGATGGGCTGCCCGGATGGATGGTTCCTGGGGCCCGGCAAGGTTAAGGGGAACCCCAGGGTGACCGGGAAGGAAGTGCTGGCAGACAGAAGCTTAATTGGGAGCGATGCCATTAAGAGACCCATGAATCAGACACATGGCTCCCGGCAAGAGAGCGAATTTTGCCGAGTGCGGGCTCCGCTCTGAGTTACACGCAGTGCCGGAGCCGCCGCGAGGCTGCCCTGCTGCCCCTGCCCCAGCCCTGCGCCGAGGCGCCCGCCCACCTGGGCTTTCTACAAGGGGGAAGAGCCAGAGGACTGACAGCCCCCCACCCGCTTCAGAGGTGCTCCCCTCTCTGTTCAGGGGGGCCCAGCGACGGGGAGCAGACGCTGCCCAGAGGCGCTTGCTACCATCGGCAGGCTGTGCGCCCTCCCTCCGCGACCTGGAGGTGACCTGAGGCTGACCCCAGGGCCGGCAGTCTTGACAGTAGGGCGTCTGTCCATCCTGCCCCCACCAGCTCCCCCAGGACACCCTCGCCCAGCTGCTCCTTCCCGCGCTCCCCGCCAGCACTGATCCCAAGGCCCTTCCAGGCCCTTCCAGGCCGGGAGTCTGCAGGGCAGGTGCCTTTTTCTGGGTGGGCGAGGCTTGGGGGCCCTGGGCCGGCTCCCAGGAGCCTCCTGTGGGTGCGGTCGTGGGGCAGCTGTCCAGCCGCTGCAGGGCCTCGCTGCCCCATGGCCAGCCCACAGGGCCCATTTTGGGGACACAAGGAGCATGTCTACCTTTTGGGGTGAGCACACAAGCACCCACTCACCCGCATCTGTTGCCTGCCTCCCTGCCGTGTCCCGCTCCTACCCGCGCCCCCACCTTTAGGAAGGGCGCCTCAGACCCACGACGGCAGGACCCTGCGCTGCTGTCCATAGGGAGCGGCTTCCTCGAGGGCGGCTGTGGGTGCTGGAGCCTGAGGCAGGCCCCGCTGGCCCCCTCACCTGCGACTTCCCTGGAGAAGTGAACTAGGAAGCGGTTCTTGGACCACCCAGGGGGCAGCCTCGGCCAGCTCCCGCTCCTGGACCGGCTCGCGGCGACAAGGACCCATTGTTCTTTTGCCAGGAGAGTTTACTAGCGAGCAGAGTTTATCCTTGCAGGTTATCTATGCTGAGGAAATGTGTCACACCCCCGTTGCAAACCTGGGCCACAGCGCCTTGGTGAGCTGGGAGGGCTGACTCGGTGGTCCCGGGCCGCGTGCCGGGACTGGCCCCTTCCCGTCTAAGACAGGACAGTGAGTGTGGGGGCAGGAGGCCCTGCGGAACGAGGCCGAGGGGCCATTGGTCCAGATCTAGTTAAACAGCCACCCTGGACCCCCAGAGCCCGCCCTGGACCCCCAGAGTCTGCCCTGGACGCCCAGAGCCCACTCACCCTGACCAGAGGGGCCGCCAGGTCCTGCAGCTGGCTTGGCAGCGGGCTTCTCCCCCGAGCCTAACAGCAGAGCTCACGCCGCCGGGCAGCTGGTGACCTGGGTTGCCGCATGGCCCGCGTTTGGAGGGTCGCACGAAGCCAGGCTGTGGCAGGGTCTGCACCCCGGGTCCTGCGAGGGTGCACAGGCACAGCAGGGAGTTTCTCCTGCAGCCACCGCGAGTCTGGGCGGGTGGCCGGGTGCCTGGGAGCCCAACCCCCCGCCCCCTGCTGGGCACCTGCGCTGCAGTCCAGGCCCAGCGCAGGAGCCGCCAGCAGAGGGCGCCCCCGGACAGCTGTCGCACTGCAGCTGCCGGCTGCTGCCCTTGGACTCAGGGCTCCTGGGGCCCCTGGGGCCGGGTTCTAGCAGCAAAGAAGGGGTGTGGCAGATGGCCGCCCTCCCTCCTTCTCTCCCGTGGACACCTCTCCGGCCCTTGGGCTTCCCTGGTCCCGAGGGCCTGTTGAGGGGGTGGGCAGCATTTTGGGCTGCAGCCACACCTCAGCCCTGCTCTCCGTGGCCCCGGGCTTCAGCACGCCTGCAAACCGGGCAGGGACTCGCTGACCTCACCCTGGGTGGCTGGGGAGGAGTGCCTGGGGCTCTCGTGGCCAGGGGCACGGGAGAATGGTGAGGCGTCTGCGGCCCGTGGCCCGGCCTGGGCAGGGTGACCTGGTCTGGCGTCCCTGACTTCAGGGTGGCCCAGTCGGTGTCCCCGACATCAGATCGCCTGGTCCGTGTGGCGAACAGCACTCCCACTCAGCTGCACCCCGGAGTTTGATTTATTTCTTCCAAAATCTGGATGGAGGTCTTGATTTTGTTTTTCTTTTTCTCTGTTTTGGCGAGGCAGTTCTAGCGCATGCCACATCTGCAGTCTCCTCCCTCCCCGCGCCCCCCTTCCTCCAGGCCTTCAGAGCGGTTCCCATGCCTCCAGGCACAGCTCTAGGCACTACAGAAGCATCAGAAACAGCCCCTTCCCCGTGGACGCACACATTCTAGAAGGTTCTCATTAGGATTTAGACACAGATGTCTTGAGATGTGGGGATGGAGAAGACAGCGTTGGAGGCTTCCCGCTGGAAGGACCATCGGGTTTGCACGTGCAGTGACACTTGAAGGGGAGCTTGGCCAAGTGGTGATAGGGAGGCCTGCAGGGACAGTTTGATCAGGGGGCGGCTGCGCAGCAGGCGGCTGTGCGCCACCACAAGTCACAACGCTGGCCGGACCCCTACCTGGTGTGCTCTGGGGCTGTGGGAACTTCCCAGCTGCCTTCTCATGTCTGCCCTTTGTTCCAGCATCTGCTTTTCCGGAGGACTTCTCCATTCTCACCACTGTGAAAGCCAAGAAGGGCAGCCAGGCCTTCCTGGTCTCCCTCTACAACGAACAGGGCATCCAGCAGATGGGCCTGGAGATGGGCCGCTCTCCCGTCTTCCTCTACGAGGACCACACGGGGAGGCCAGGGCCAGAGGACTACCCCTTGTTCAGGGGCATCAACCTGTCAGACGGCAAGTAAGTGGGTGCGACCAGCAGCCAGCCCTTCCAGAGCCCGTGGGCCGCACCGTGCCGAGGCGCCCAGGGGCACTGGTGGGGAGCACCAGCCTGTGGGCCTGGGACCCAGGTCCGGTCTCGGGTCTCCTGTCTGGCCTGGGCCTCCCTTCCCCTGTAAATGCACAGGTGACAGACACCTGGGACGTGGGAGTGAAGGGCTGGGAAAAACACAAAGGCCAGTCCTTCCAGAACTCTCTCCGTGCTGACAGCTGGGACGCCTCTTCTGGGGCTCAGATATGCGGGGCCACATGCAGTGATCTCTGAAGCCCCTCCAGAAGTGGCTCATGTATTTCTTACCAAGTGGTTCAAGTGGATCCAACGAGTCTGCTGCTTCCCATCACAATCCTCCTCTGTCTCCGCAGTTTGCACTGGGGGTCGGAGGGTGGAACACCCACTGCTGTAGCGCCAGCTTTCAGAGCCAGGCCCCCGGGAGCCCGGGGCTGGCTGCGTGGGGAGCTGGTGGCTGTTCCTGGCCGCGTGTGGCCCCAGCTGCCCCGATGGCCCGCAGGCAGGCACGGGCCAGGACGTCACGCTTCTTGGCTCCGTCTCCCCGGCAGCCGGAGGCGGTGTCACCTGTGCTGGGACCCGGGATGCCCTCACCGTGGCCATGTGCTTCTTTGCAGGTGGCACCGAATCGCGCTCAGCGTCCACAAGAAGAACGTCACCCTGATCTTGGACTGCAAGAAGAAGACCACTAAGTTCCTCGACCGCAGCGACCACCCCCTGATCGATGTCAATGGCATCATCGTCTTCGGGACCCGGATTCTGGATGAGGAAGTGTTTGAGGTGAGCAGGGCTGGAGAGCAGGGGCCGGGGGCGGGGAGAGGGGCGTCCCGCCCCCCGCTGCAGCAGACGCCAGCTGTGAGAGTGCGGGGCTGTGGGGGGCCGTCTGCTCTGTGGGGTTCGACATGGCCATGCGGCTGTTGGTCGGAAGCCCCAGCCGTCGCCCCAAGGGATGCTGGTGGCCTGTGGGCAGGAGAGGCTATGCGAGGACAGCCGTGACCACTCTGTCCAGGCCCCACATCTGCATCTCTGGGGACCGGCTTGGGAGGGATCCCGGGCTTTGGTGAGTGCCCGAGCTTGTGTAAACAGGCAGACTGCTGCCTTCCAGGCGCCCTGGAGGGGCGCCCTGCTGGGTGGGCGTGGCGGGTGCCAGGGCGGAGCCGGGAGGCCGAGTGTGCCTGTCCCGAGTCGGCCTTGCTCGGGGTGTCTGGCGGGGAGCCCTGGGAGCCCGGGGACAGGCAGGGCTGCAGAGCAGGCCTCGAGCCCCACGCCTGCCCGGTGTCCTAGGCTGGGGTCCAGGGGCCATAGAGCTCCATCCCGCTGCCCAGTGTAGGGCATCCCAGGTGACCAGCGATTGCCAGGGCCAGGCTTGGGGCACATCGGTGTCCCTGGGGACCTTTAAACACTGGACGCCTGGCCTCCCGCATGCACATCCATGTGCAGGACCCTGGCCGGGGCAGGCTGCGGGACTGGGTTTCGGGGCCAATGGGCTGCTCTGACGCCCTGTGACCGGCTGTTCCACCTGTGTACCCGGCACAGCTGCAGCTGCCCATGGAGCCCTGGCAAAAGGCGGGGTACTCCACACCGCGCCTGCCCTCGGCCTCATCCGGCACTGGTGTGGGGGCAGCCGGCGGGTGGAACCAGGTGGCCCCTGGGGAACCTGCCTGGAGGTGGAGGGTCCAGAGGACACAGCCTGCCCACTGGGGGTGTGGGGTGGGCATGAGGGTCCCGCCTCAGCCACCTTGTCGGTGCTGCGCTGGCGGTGGGGGTCTGGGCTCCGGCTCCGATGGGCCTGGCTGAGGCTGCGGCGTGGCGACTCCCATGAGTGGCTCCGACCCGATGGCCAAGGGCCCCGGGTGAGCCGGGCATGGCCAGGGTGGGAGGTGGCCGGGGCTGTGCTGGGAGCTGGCAGGCAGAGACAGGGAAAGCAGGCGACTTCGGTGAGGCTCTGGGAGTCTCCCTTGTAAAACAGGGGCAGCAGCAGCCCCCAGAGATGTGGGGCCTCGCTGGGCTCACTGTGTGGCATGTGGCTCGGGTCGGGGTCGCCCGCATTGCCCGGAGCTGAGTGGGAGGCTGTGCCTGGGCTGTGCGATGCTTCTTCACTTCACGACTTGGGCACAGCTTCATCTACCTGAAAGAAGGTCCCTGAGTCAACTACTGCTTCCTCGGCTTCCTGCCGAGCCAGAGGCTCTTCCCTCACAGCCGGGAGAGGGAGGGCCTAGCGTGGGCAGCCCCGGGGGGTAGGGGAGGGGGCAGGCAGGGCTGGTTCTCCCCAGCTGCCTGCACTTTCGACATTTCTTCTGGTGGGGTGGGGCAGCACAGCCCTGACGCCAACGCCGTGGGTGTGCACGCATGTGAGTGTGTAGTGAGTGTGCACGTGTGTGCTCCTGTTGTGTGTCCGTGTGAGTGTGTGTCAGCGGTCCCTCCATGCACATGCACATGCATGTTGCTGCACACATGGCAGGCACACAAGTGTGCCAGTGTGTCCCTGCGCGTGTCGTGTGTGCACGGCTGTGTTGTGCATTTGTCCAGTGATCTGTGCACATGTGTGTGCTGTGTGTAGGCACATGGAAACCCGCACAGAGCTGGGGCCACCAGTCCCCGGGACCCCCACCTTTACTCTGGGAGGGGGCAGACTCCTGTCAGCGCAGGGCGCCCCGTGGAGTCGTGGGTTCTCCTCCTGCTGCCCCTTCTGCCAGCCTGGGCCCCCCTGCAACTGAAGGGGCCTTCCCCTGGGAGGGTTGGGGTCCTCCGGGCTGAGGCTGGGGTGAGAGGGAGGATCAGGATGGGACCGCAACTGCCTGTGCCCTGGGGGGCCTCCCCAGGCGCTTCTGCCGCTGCCCCCGCAGTGCTGCGGCCCTGGTCTGGCGAGCGAGGGAGACGGGATTGAACTGTTGGCTCTTTCTGGCAGATTCCACGAGGCCATGCTCGCTGTCTGGGCGGCTGGGCTTCTCCACCAGGCTCTCTGAGAGGCTGGGCCAGTCCCCCGAGCTGTCCTTGCAGCCCTGTCTGGCCCAGAGGGGGATGGAGGACCCACCACAGCCTCCATGTCCAGGCTCTGCAGCAAGCAGGGCGCTTTGCAGATGGAGCCGGTCACACCCCAAGCACTGTTTGCAGGCAGGGCTGCACTGGTCCTGGGGTCTGTTGGGGACCCCTGGGCCTTGTCCAGGGGTGCGTGTGACCCCACAGAGGCCCCTTGGTGTGGGTGCTGGCCAGGGACTGTCAGAGCCCAGGGATGTGCTCCCCGTGCCCCACCCCAAGGGAGGTTCCTGGTTTCTTGGCCACCAGTGGTTTCCTAAATCCAGAGGCCTTTTCCAGGGCCCGCCCCTTCCCCTGGCATACTTCCTCCCGGGAAGTATCTGGGGTTGGGGCGGGGCCTGGGATGAGGCGATGCCTCCTTGGCAATCCTGGGGCACCCAGGCGTCCTCCTCCATGCGTATGTGAAGGTGAGGGTCTGGGTCTCGGCTAGGCCACGTCCAGCCAGCCAGGTTGCGCCTGACGCCTGGAGCCCAGGAGCTACCCCGTCGGCCAGCAGGGGTGTCCTGTCCGTGATGGTGGAGGTAATGGTGGTGGTGATGGTGGTGGTGATGGTGGTGATGGTGGTGATGGTGGTGATGGTGATGATGGTGGTGATGGTGATGGTGGTGATGGTGGTGATGGTGATGGTGGTGATGGTGATGGTGGTGATGGTGGTGATGGTGGTGGTGATGGTGGTGATGGTGGTGATGGTGATGGTGGTGATGGTGGTGATGGTGATGGGTGGTGATGGTGGTGATGGTGGTGATGGTGGTGATGGGTGATGATGGGTGATGGTGGATGGTGGTGATGGTGATGGTGGTGATGGTGATGGTGGTGATGGTGATGGTGATGGGTGGTGGTGATGGTGGTGGTGATGGTGATGGTGGTGATGGTGATGGTGGTGGTTATGGTGGTGATGATGGTGATGGTGGTGATGGTGGTGATGGTGATGGTGATGGTGGTGGTGATGGTGATGGTGGTGGTGATGGTGGTGGTGGTGGTGATGGGTGGTGATGGTGGTGATGGTGGTGATGGTGGTGGTGGTGATGGTGATGGTGGTGGTGATGGTGATGGTGATGGTGGTAGTGATGGTGGTGGTGATGGTGATGGTGATGGTGGTGATGGTGATGGTGATGGTGGTGATGATGGTGGTGATGGTGGTGATGGTGGTGATGGTGAGGTGGTGCTGGTGGTGGTGGTGATGGTGGTGCTGGTGGTGATGGTGGTGCTGGTGGTGCTGGTGATGATGGTGGTGATGGTGATGGTGGTGCTGGTGATGGTGGTGCTGGTGCTGGTGGGTGATGGTGATGGTGAGGGGTGGTGATGGTGGTGGTGCTGGTGATGGTGGTGATGGTGCTGGTGATGGTGGTCGTGATGGTGGTGGTGGGTGCTTGGTGCTGGTGGTGCTGGTGGTGCTGGTGATGGTGAGCTGGTGGTGGTGCTGGTGCTGGTGGGTGGTGATGGTGGTGGTGGTGGTGCTGGTGGTGCTGGATGGGTGCTGGGTGGTGCTGGTGGTGGTGGTGCTGGTGCTGGTGGTGTGGTGGTGCTGGTGCTGGGTGGTGTGCTGGTGGTGGTGCTGGTGCTGGTGGTGGTGTGGCTGGTGATGGTGCGTTGGTGTGCTGCTGGTGGTGATGGTGGTGCTGGTGCTGGTGATGGTGGTGCTGGTGGTGGTGGTGGTGGTGGTGATGTGCTGGGGCTGGTGGTGATGCTGGTGGTGCTGGTGGTGGTGCTGGTGGTGCGGGTGGTGCTGGTATGGTGGTGGTGTGGTGATGGTGCTGGTGGTGCTGGTGGTGGTGCTGGTGGTGGTGCTGGTGATGGTGCTGGGGGTGGTGCTGGTGCTGGTGCTGGTGGTCGTGCTGGTGGTGGTGATGGTGATGGGGTGGTGGTGCTGCTGGTGGTGATGGTGGTGCTGCTGGTGCTGGTGGTGATGGTGTGGTGCTGGTGGTGGGGGTGCTGGTGCTGTGGTGCTGGTGGTGCTGGTGCTGGTGGTGGTGTTGGTGCGGTGATGGGGGGATGTGTGGGGGTGGTGCTGGTGGTGTTGCATGCTGGTGGTGATGGTGGTGGTTGCGGATGGTGTGCTGGTGCGCTGGTGGTGATGGTGGTGGTGATGATGGTGGTGATGGTGGTGGAGGTTAATGGTTTTTCTGGGCCTCACTGTGTGCCGGGCCCACTAAGTGTTCTCTGGTGCCATCACACTTATCCCCAGGGTAGCTCATGAGCTGAGCTGATCTTCTTTTACCAACAGTGAAGGAGGGGCTAGCTTAGCCGCGTGGGCTTGAGCCACGTGGGCTTGAGCCCATGGGCTTTGGAGAGAAGGGCCTGCCAGTCAGGCCCTTGCCATTGGCTCTGCTGCCCCGTGACTGGTTTGGGGACCCAATGTTCCCTCCCCCACTTTGTTGTGCTGACCCCTTAGTTTGGGGGCTAGCTTCAGGGGCTAACACAGGGGTCCCCCTCCCCACCGCTGTGGTGGAGACGTAGGTGTGGTGTTTCATACCTGCCCCTGTGCAGGGGTGAGCAGACTTGGCCCTGGACCTCTGGACACCAGTTGGTGGCACAGGTGAGAGTGGACGGGACTGCGGGTGACCGGTGGGCGGTCAGACTGTGGCTGGACTTGGTGGAGCAGTGGGCAGTGGTGTCTCTCTGCACGAAAACATCCTTGAACGCACCCTCCGCACGTTAAGCTCGTTCTCAGACTCCGTGGGCTTCATAAAATCATGGAAAAAATTATTTAGCCTCTGGCTCAGGGCCTTTCCGTTTCCATTTGTGTGACTCATGGATGAAAAATAGTGCAGGTTTTCGCTGTGCTGCTCTGCCTCAGGGCTTGGCTGGGGTGCGTGGGGGGCCCTTTCAGGCGTGAAGCCTTGGAGCAGCGGGGAGTGGCTCCGGGAGGTCGCGCTGTTCAGCGTTCAGGGCCGGCGGTCAGAGATCTGCACCAGGCGGCTGCCCGTGTCCGTCAGTCCTGCGAGGGTGCCTAGTGTCCTGCGTGCGTGGCTGCTCCGTGTCACCTGCCGGGATGTGGCCCAGCCTGTGATGACAGAATGGAGATGGGGAGGGAAGGTGAGGGCCGGTCTTGCCCCACCCCCTTGCAAGAGGCTGGGTGTGTTGGGGACAAGCCTGAGACTGTGGCCCAGACGTGGGGACCTCAGGAGCCCTGTGTCCCCCCGCTTGTCACCCCTCAGGGGCCCAGCCTGGCCCCCCCATCCAGGCTGCGGCGGTGCTGGTCGGCGCCCATCTGGGCTGCGAGGGCACACATCTGCGGCTGGAGGGGTGCAGCAGGGGTGACTCCGCTCTCGTGTGTGCTGCCGGGGTGCACCCGCCGCCCCTCCCCCAACGCGAGGTGTGGTCTTCTCCGGTTATGTGTGTCTCCACGCGCCACGGTCTGGCTAAAATCCGCCTTGGGTCCTCAGGCGTGCTCTGAGCCTGCGGGGCGGGGTGCCCCGGGGCCTGGGGGCGGAGGCTCTGCTGCAGTGATCATGGGGCTGCTTCCCCGGCCCCCCCAGGCCTGCTGTGGAGGGGAGGGGTGCGGGGCTAGTGGCCAGGCAGAGGAGCGCGGGCAGTGGCGAGGGCGCCAGGCACTGGGGTGGGAGCTGGGCAGCCGCCCGCGCTCGGGCCCGCTCAGCCCCAGGCTGCGAAGCTTCCAACGAAAACTGCCATTTCCTCAGCTCGTTGCGGAAACGCAGCCGGGATCAAATCTCATTATCGGAGAAGGCAGAACTGACTCCCTCAGCAAAACGCTCTCTCCAGAGCAGAGCCAAGGACTGGGGGGGCTGCAGCAGCAGGGCAGCACCTGTGACCCGCACCGGGCGCTTTGGGGGGCAGCGGGGCAGAGGGGCTGGAGAAGCCGAGCCTGTGGTCGCCCGGGCGAGGGGAGGGGCCGCTGGCACTTGCTCTCTGGACGCGCTGTTGGGGCCCCCGCAGGGTGAACCGCTGGCCTTGGTACCTGAAGAGAAACTGAATCACAGAGGGCTTGGTCAGGGACTGAAAGATGTGCGCCTGGGGCAGCGGGGTTCCCCAGGGGCCGGCTGGCCCTACCCCGAGGGCTCTGGGCGAGGTGACTGACTCGGGGAGCTGCAGCCCCATCCCAGGGTCCAGGCTGCCCTCGGGGAGCTGCAGGGGTGCAGGTGTCGCCGACGTGGGCTGTGAGCCCTGAGACTCAGCTGTGTGTCTGCGGAACAGGGATGAGCCATGAGGGGGGCCCATGATGCTGGGCCTCCCAGGGTGGCACAGCAAGGGAGACCCTGTCATGAGGGCCGAGACCACGCGGCCCCAGTCTTGGCGGGCGTCGACACTGGCTGTTGAGAAGGGCTCTGGCAGCAGCCTGGAGGACGCTGGAGTGCTGGCGCCCCTCCACCTGCCCTCGGCCCTCCAGGACTGGGGCCTCCTGCCCTTCTCAGAGGCAGCCCCTTCGCGGCCCCCAGTCCGAGGGCTGGGCTGCATGACACCTTCTCTGGACCTTGTGGGGAGTGAGTGTTTGGGGTATGGCCAGGCAGAGGGCAGCGCTTTGGGGTCCCCTCAGCCCTGGCCCATCACCCAGCCCTTAGTGGGGCTGGCTGGGGGCCTGGGGGGGTACAGGGCTGCTCTGTGCTCTGCAGCAGCTGGGGCTGGGGGGCTCAGGGGGGCACTGGCACTCTTGGGGAGTCTGGGGTGGAGCTCCCACACCTGCCACCCTGGGCCCTGCCCAAGCTCCGGGGCCTCGTGGGGCACCCTGGGGGTACAGCCCCTGCCAGGAGGGGTGTCAGGTGCACAGGAGGGTCCAGAGGAGCATCCCGTCAGCACTGGCTCAGGTTCCCCGGGGCTCGGAGCGTGAGCCTGCACACGGAGCCTCGGCTGCCCAGGGGGTGGCGGCGCCCACCCAGAACAGATGGCACAGTCTGCGTGTGCAGGTGCCCCTGGCAGGTTGTGGGAAGCTGAGGTCAGATGAGGGGGCGTGTTTGCCGCGAGGTGGGCGACGGCGTGAAGGGGCTTCATGCTGGGCCCTGGCCCCCGCCCCCCGCCCCAGCACGTGTTCACCCTGCAGTTGGGGGGTGGAGGGCAGTGGGGAGCCAGGGCTGGCAAGGGCCAGGCTGGTGGGGGGCCTGGAGGAGGGGTGTCTGTGCCTCCTCTTGCCCACCGTGTGGGGGCTGTGAGTGCTGGGCGTGGCCGGTGCCCAGGATAGGGGATCCCCCCGGAGGCAGCTGGCCGCAGGGAGCAGGGGGCAGTGTGCTGCCGCTTGGGGTCCCCCGGCCGCTGTCTCGCTGCCCCAGGCTCCCCGGCCTCTCCCTCCAGCAGAGGCATTTGGAGAACATGTATTCACGCGTCAGGCTGCCAGCTGAACGGGGAAAATACTTTATTTGAATTGGATGGAGTGTGAACTAGAAGTCGTGTTGCTTAATAAAAACGGGTGGTTTTGGTTCACGGTTCCTGTCGTATGGGTCTCGTCTGCCCGAGAGTTTAAGAGCCGGGCCGGGAGCCCCTGGCGTCCAGAGGGCGGCGTGGGAGAGGAAGGGAGAGCGGACAGGCCGGGAGAGCAGGGGAGACGGAGGGAGGGAGAGACAGAGTGGGGGACACAGAGAGGGCGGGAGGCGGGGAGAGGGGGAAGGGGGGAAGGCAAGTGGGGGGAGGGGGAGAGGGGGGTGGGGGGGAGCCCCGGGCGTCAGGGCCAGCGGGGCCCCTCCAGGCAGGGGTTGAGGCACGCCCGCGTCTGGTGCTCTGGCTGGCGCTTAGTAGGTGCTTAATGACGGCCGTGGAGCGCGGCGCGGGGTGCGATGGCCGAGGGACGCGCGCGCGCGCGGAGGGACGGTGGTGGGTGGGCCTTCCGGCCCCCTCGGGGTGACCCCGCGGTGCGCGTCCCCGCTGGGGCCCGCTCCTCCAAGGGCCTCCCGGCCGCTCTCGCCGCAGGCTCGCGGGTCTGGGTGCCCGCAGGCCCCGCGCCCCGGCTCAAGGCCTTCCTCTTCCAGGGCGACATCCAGCAGCTGCTCTTCGTCTCGGACCCCCGGGCCGCGTACGACTACTGCGAGCACTACAGCCCCGACTGCGACACGGCCGCCCCGGACACCCCCCAGTCGCAGGACCCCAACCCCGACGACTACGTGAGTCGTGCCCGCCGGCTGCGCCAGCCCCGGGGAGCGGGTCTGGCGGGGGCGGGGCAGGGCCCGACACAGGGCGACCCCGGATGGGAGATAGCAGGGCAGCGGGGTCACAAAGGACGCCTGTGAGCGACCCCGACCTGCCGGGGGGCTTCCCGCGACAGGCCCACCCGCGGGGGCCCTGGGCGGCCTTGAGTGCAGGCGAGTCCCCCAGCCAGGGCCTGCTGTGGTCCGGCCGGCTCCCCGCCCGCCCGGCTCCGCCTCGGCTGTTCCCAGCACTTCTCAGGGAGCCCCTCCGTCCCCTCCGCCCCCTTCATCCCTCTCGCCGGGCCCTGACCCACCGCAGAGGGATCAGGGGGATCAGGCCCTGCTGCTTGTCCGTCCCGAGGGGCGGGACGTGGCCCCAGACGGGCGCCTGCAGCCGGCCTGCTGGAGCCCCCGATGGCCCCGAGGGTCACCCGGCCAGCAGCACCCACCCTCGGGCCAGTGGTCTGACCCTTGCTCCTAAGTGGTCAGGACACACAGACCTTTCGGGGCTCAGCGTCCTTGGAAGGGGTCCCCTGCGTCCTCCCTGGGGAGCTGAGCAGGAAGGACTGTTGGGGTCCCACGGGCTTCCCTTGTGCAGCGGGGCGACTTGGCCCGCCTGGCTGGCTCCGATGGGTGTCCCCCCTCACGGGCCTGTTCCTGCAGTACCCGGAAGGAGAGGGCGAAGGTGAGGCCTACTACTACGAGTACCCCTACTACGAAGACCCCGAGGACCCCGGCAAGGAGCCCGCCCCCACCCAGAAGCCCGTGGAGGCCGCCAGAGAGACCACGGAGATCGCTGAGGTCTGGAGCCCGGCGCGTGTGCTTGTGGGGTGGGGGTGTCTGGTGATGCGTGGAGACCTGGAGGCCGGCGGGGCGGGGTGGGGGGCAGGGGGAGCTGGCAAGGACAGGCAGGGACGCTGATGGGCTTCCACGGGGACGGTGCCGGTGGCATTGGGAGGCGTGGGCGGGGGGGGGGGGCATTGAGGGGGCGGTCCCCAGGGAGCTCCAGCCTTTAGCGTGCCCCTGGTTGGGCCCGGTCCCCAGGCCCCTGGTTTGTGCTTTGCTGCCCAGCTCAAGCCCCCTAGGTGGTCTGGGCCCTGGACCCTGGGGGCTGCGTGGCCCTGACCCCGCTGCTGCCGTCTCTCCCTGGGCTCGCAGGAGCTGACCCTGCCCCCCACGGACGCCCCTGCGGTGCCTGCCGCCAACGAGGGGGCCGGGAAGGAGGAGGACCCCGGCATCGGGGACTATGACTACATCCCCGTGGAGGACTACTACACGCCGCCCCCCGACGAGGGCCTCAACTACGGCGAGGGCCCCGACAGCCCCGACCGGCCCACCGACACAGGCGCGGGGCCCGGGGTGCCCACCGCGGCCGCCAACACCTCCAACGTGAGTGCCTTCTCGGGGTGCCGGGCTGGTCATGCTGAAGGCTCCCTGGCCTCCTCTCCTCTCTGCCTCTGCCCTGGCGTGTCGGGGTCCCCTGCTGGCAGGCCCCCAGCCCTGGCTGCGGCCCTGTGGCCAGGCCGTCTAGGAGGCCCCGGCTGCCACACGGGTCTGGCATCACTGGCCTGCCGGGAGCATGTTTCCCCCCCAAACGGGCAGGATGTGTCCGCCCGCTGGACTCAGGTGGAGGTGGCAAGGGGCTGTGCTGCCCGAGGGCTCTGCCGGCCACTCACCGGGTGCCTGCAGCTCAGGGAGGGGCTGGCGCAGGGCAGGCCCCAAGCAGCTGCTGAGAGCCTCAGGGGAGGGAGGGCCAGACCCCGCTGGTGTCAGTATGGCTGGGCCTGTCCCGCCTGGGGGCTGGGCCGCCTCCCAGACACACGCACAGCCTTGGGGGGATGGTTTCCCCGGGGCCAGGCGTTGTGGGATTCGGGAGGCCCCTGGCTGTGTCCTGGGCGGGCAGGCCTGGAGCCGCGAAGGGAGGCTCACCAGCTGGCCTGTCGTCCTCTGGGGTGCCGCCCGCTACCCTCAGCCGGCTCCGGGGGACGGGAAGGACGACCTGGACGAGAAGTTCACGGAGGAGACCATCCCGAACCTGGACGAGAACTACTACGACTCCTACTACGACCCCACCGTGTCCCCGTCCGAGATCGGGCCCGGCATGCCCGCCAACCAGGACACCATCTATGAAGGGGTGAGCTGGAGGGCTCCTTTGGGGGTGTCCCGGGGCTGGCGTGGGCAGTGCGGGGTGCGGCTCTGTCAGCCGTTGGGGTGTGGTGCTCTCTGGCCTCTCTGTCCTGCTCATTCTGTCCACCTGTGCTCCGTACCCCCAGATTGGAGGACCTCGGGGCGAGAAAGGACAGAAAGGAGAACCCGCCGTCATAGAACCGGTAAGGACGCGCCTCATCCTCTCTGAAGCAGGGTCTCGGCTCAGGAGCCCTGCACCCCAGTCCTGGGCTTGTGGGGGCCACGTTCTGTGTGTGGCGGAGACTTGCAGAGAGCCCCGGGGGGCGGGAGTGCTCGAGACCTGGACTGTTGGGGGCTGAGGGCCCGGCTGGTCACCCAGGGGTCACCCCACTCTTAAGGTCTGTGCACTCCACTGCCCACCCCCTCTACCTCGATAAAGAAGACTCGGCACTTCTGGGGGTGGTATGGCAGTGAGGGGCCAAGGGTGGGCAGCCGGTCACTCCTAGGCACCGCTGGCTCGCCTGTTGTGCTGGCCCTGGGGCCCTCTGGCTGCAGCTGGAGACATGGGAGATGCTGTGGATCAGTCAGGGGACATGAGCGGCTGCCGGAAGCCTGTGAGGACACTGGCCGCGCGCACTGGACTCGCTGTTGGCAGCGTGGGTGGCAGGGCTCCAGGTGCCCGTGGGTCACAGGCAGGCCCAGCTCTGTGCTGGAGGCCCCGGCACTGGGCGGGCAGCACCCACAGGTGGGAGCGCCTGCGGGTCATCCCATGGCCAGTGGCAGGGAGGGCGGGCCGTGCGAGCGGGCAGTACTCTGGCCTGGGCTGCCCCTTTGTGCACCCATGTCCCTGCTGAGCTGCCTGGGTGGGGGATCCGTGGTCCCAGCGCGGGACGCTGGGGGCTGGCAGCGCCTGCTGTCCCTCCCCGAGGCCCCCCGCGCAGGAGGAGGCGCTGGCCGAGGAGCGGGGAGGCCAGCAGCAGCCCAGGCGCCTCACGTGTCTCCAGAAAGTCCATCTTTCTTCGGGGACATGGAGCCATCTGGATGCTGTTGGGATTCCGCCCCCTCGGGCCCTCGTGCCGCTCCCGCCCAGCCCCAGCCCACTCGAGGTGTCCACAGGGCCCTCGCTGGCCCCTCGGCGAGCGTGCGAACAGCTGGAGTCCCTCCGCCTGGAGCACGGCCAGATGTCCTCAGTCTCTGCTCCCTGTGAACAGATGGCCGCGTCCCCAGAGATGGATAGGCCTGCTGCTGACCATGCGGGCGGCAGCCCCTGGGGGTGGGGTGGCCATCCCAGCCTCCCTGGGGAGGGGTGACCACGGTCAGACTGGGCCAGCCCCTGCCAGCCTGCCAGGGCCACGCCGGCCGCTCCCCACGCAGGCCTGCCCGCGGTGTCTGTCCTGTCTGTGGGCTCCTGGAAGCTCGGCGGGAGCCTGGGCGTCTTCGGCGCAGGCCACCTGCAGCCGGGCCTGGGGGCCAGAACGGCCAGAGCCTGTCCATGGAGACACCCGCGATGCAGGCACAACACAGCCCGCCCCGCCCTGCCCTCGCCAGCCCCAGGGTCCCCCGCGGCCCCCGCCTGGGAGGACCCCGTCCTGCATCGATGCCTGAGCACCCCGGTTGGTGTGTCTGGGAGGACAGCCTGCCCCTGGCCCACGTGGCCACCGCCCCCACGGGCCCTCCCGTGGCTGAGCCTGTGCCGGAGCAGGCACGAGGGGCCGAGGATCCCGGGGCGTTGGATAGACACCCTGTCTCCACACCGCAGAGCTCTCTGGGTCCACTTCTGTGCCCGCACAGCCTCCGTCTCTGGGGAGCCCCGTGGGGCAGGAGTGGCTTGGGGGCTCAGCCACCTGAGTGGGGGCCTCCGCTGGCCGGGCAGGGAGTGCAGGTTCCGGTCCAGGGCTGGGCTTGGAGGCAGCGGCTTCGGTCACCCCGGCCGGGAGTGTCGTGGTTTCTGGGCCGGGGGGGGGGAGCTGGCCCAGCCTCTCCCACCAGCAGGCGGCAGAGTTAACAGGGAGAAGGGCATCGCCGGGTCCGCTGACCCCATGGGAGGCAAAGCTGTCCCGGGAGGGCTGGGCAGGGACCCGCAGGCCCCAGGTCAGCCTGCGCAGCTCGGCAGTGGACACCCTGGCCCCCCCGACGTGAGCACCACGCGGCGGGCCCCTGCCCTGGCTCTGACCGCACGGGGCAAGATTGGGGGCAGGGAGAGGGTGCCCTACATTGGGCAGGGGAGCCAGAGGCCACAAGGGGGGAGTGCCCGGCCACGGGGTCCCGTCAGCAGAGAGCTGAAGCCCATGCTGCCCTCTGCTGCCCCAGTGCCCTCCCTCTCCTGGGGTCAGAGTGGAGGGCGCCTAGAGAGTGGAGTCTGCGGGTCGAGGTGTAAGCCTGTGAGGGGCTGGGGGCCGCAGGAGGTGAGTGCCCAGGACTCGGTGGGGAAGCGGCCCCCTCTCCCGGGGGGAGGGCTCGGCCTTAGTGAGCTGGTCTGCTGGGGCCCGGCCGGGGCCTCTTCTCCCGTCCACCTTGAGCCCATCTGTCCTTCACCCTGACCCCCACCTCCATCCTGGGGTCCTCTCCTCCCCTGCCTGGATGCTCCCCTGGGGGGCTTTCTGGGTCCCCTTTCTTGGCGATGATTCTGCGGCATCTGTTCTTGGGGGAAAGCCTGTTGCTGATGTCCACTGAGGGCTGGACACAGCCAAGAGGTGCCGGGCGACAGTGACTGGCCCCGCCACAGCCCCTACAGCCGGGCCCGGCCCGTATCCCGGGCCCCGCTCAGCCCGCCTCTCTCTTGCAGGGCATGCTCATAGAGGGGCCGCCCGGCCCAGAAGGCCCTGCCGTGAGTATCCATCCCGCTCCCCCTGGATGCTGGGGTGCTGACGCCCCCGTAGAGCTCCCGCGTGTGAGGGGGGTGTGCTTGCACCTTTTGCAGATGTCCTGGGGCCCACCTTGGCCTGGCAGGGTGGGACGGGTCTTGCCCTGTGGCCTCGTCTCTGCTCTGACTTTGGTTTTGATTCTAGGGTCTACCAGGGCCTCCAGGAACGATGGGTCCCACTGGCCAAGCGGGTGACCCTGGAGAACGGGTAAGGGGCTCCTGGCCGCCTGGGGCGCAGGGCTGGGGCTTGGCCTGAGGCCTCCCCGTGGGGCGACTGGGGCCCCCACGTGCACCGGAGGCTCGCACCGGGCCCTCCTCTCCCAGCGTCCCCGCCCCACTACCACTGCCCCTGCTGTGCGGTGTCCCCGGTCCCCAGGGAGGCCGGCTGGGCCCCGCGCAGTGGATCCCTCAGCCCCTCATCAGGCCCATGTCAGTCGCCACGCCCGGGCACCCCGTGTCCCCGCACCCCCGGGACCCCTCGGGTCTTGAGTCCCTACCCTCCCCCCCCCCCCACTTTCCTGACTGGAAAGCAAGCAGCAGACAAGAGGGAGTTGGCTCTGGTCAGGGCTTCCCCGGCTGCCCTGGTCTGAGGGCGCACCCCGGGGCCCGGATCTGGGGGTGCACCCCCTGCTGCCCCGATCTGGGGGCGCGTCCTGCTGCTTGAGGGCTGCAGCATTCTGCCACCTAGTGGAGCTCAGGGGTACTGCGGGATCGTGCCACTTGCCCTGGCCTGATGGGCCCAGCCGGACAGCGGTGACCAGCTGTGCTGTGGGTGAGGGAAACCGGGCGTGTGTGGACACCCCAGCCTGGCACCCCCCAGAGCAGAGGACAGACCGGCCGGGGTCTGCGAGGACAGGGGCTGGGTCCCATCAGGAGGGAAGATGGGCCGGCAGCCCCGTGGACGGGACTCTCACTTTGTAGTCCGCGTTAGGCAATGTTTCCCCAGAGCGTGGGCAGTTCTGCGGTAGAACAACCTCCCGGGGAAAGATAGGCCAGTGTGAGCTCAGGCCCAGGGGGCTCCACACCCTCTGGGGAGTTCCAGGGGAGCCCCAGGGTCTGGGCCTCGCTGGGGACGGGGGTCCTGCTGGTGTTTCCCCACCGAGTATAGCTGCCCGGCCTGGCGGCCATGTGGTCAGGCCTGGGCCCAGCTCCAGCGGGAGCGGGCAGGGGCCTTGTGCTGTGAGCAGGCCGGCGGGGCCCCACTGAACTGGGCGGAGGGTGATGATGCCGGCGGGGTGCCCCTGAGCCGGGCAGGGGGAGGTGACGATGCCAGCCTCTGAAAACAAACCGGCTGTGCAGCCCTCCCCTCCTGGGACCTGCAGCTGGCCGGCATCTGTACCGGCGTAACCACCAGGGCACGCGCTAGGGCCAGCTGGAAGCTCCCGGGGCTGTAGACTGTTAAATGAGGGAAGAGCGGGTGTGTCCGAGCACCCTGTCCCTCTGTCCCCACATCTGAGCAGGCGCAGACTCCCTGGCACCCACCCGCCCTCCAAACGCCCGCAGGAAGAGCGGGGACAGCAGAGGGAGTGGCCCCGGGGCTGCCCACCCTTGGACACTCACCCGCTCCCTCCCCACCTCTCAGACCCTGCTCCTTGCACCCCCCATTCTGGGCCTGGCTCCTGGAATAGCCCGCACCATTGGCCTGACTTGGCTCCGCGCTGGTCCGTGTGTTTCCCGGGAGGCTCCCGAGCCTTCCTGTGGCCGCGGCCAGCTCTGAGCCGCCCTCCTGTCCCTCTGTCCGCAGGGCCCCCCTGGACGCCCAGGACTTCCTGGGGCGGATGGGCTGCCCGGCCCCCCTGGGACCATGCTCATGCTGCCGGTGAGTCCCCCTGGGGCAGGGCCAGCTGCGCCCACCGTGGCAGCCTCCTGGAGAGCGTCCACTGGGTCCTGGTGCTGACGCACTGGTGTGGGCGCCGATGGCCAGGGTCGCCTGTCCATGGCTGGGGCTGGCCGGGCACCTGGGCAGGGGCCTGGCTCTCGGGAGGAAGCGGATGTGGCCATGCTGCCCCCTCCCTGAGCAGCCCGTGGCCTGTGGTGGAGAGACCGGCCATTTCCTTCCTGGTGGGGTGTCCCGGGCAGCTCAGTGCAGGTGGAGTGGGGGCTTTTGGGGGGGAGCTGGGGCTAGAAGCTTCCCAACCCCTCTGAGGCCAACAGGCACCACCTGGACTGGGGTCCGCGTGGGCACCCACATTTGCACCCCTGCCTTCCGTCCACAGTTCCGGTTCGGAGGGGGCGGCGATGCAGGCTCTAAAGGCCCCATGGTCTCGGCACAGGAGTCCCAGGCTCAGGCCATTCTCCAGCAGGCCCGGGTGAGTGAGTGGCTCCGGGGAGGGGCGGGCAGAGCCAAGCGCGGGTGGGTGGGGGGATGCCGGCTGGGGTATGCGGACTGGGGCGGGCGCAGGTGCGGGTACGGTCTGAGGGTGGCTCTGGCTCCAGCCTGGCCTCTTCTGGGACTTGCTTGGCCGGAGGGCCCCCGGGTACCTGCAGGCGCCGCCCTGTGGCTGGGGGAACGCCAAGGCCCGCGGAGTAAGTGCTGTGCTGTTCCGCTCGAGCCTCCCACCAGCGGGGAGGGGAGGCTGCGCCTCAGGCTCAGCATGGGTGACGGGCTGAGGGCAGCCCCTGGGCGGGTTGGGGTGGGGAGAAGACAGGTGCTTCGCTGGGGCTCTGGGTACCCCGAGTGGGTGTGGCCCCCGTGAGCCCCTATAACCCGGAGGTCTCAACTCCCCGGCTCCGGCCCGCAGCCGGACGGCAGCGTCTCTCAGTGACCCCGTTTCTCTCCGCAGCTGGCGTTGCGGGGGCCGGCCGGCCCGATGGGTCTTACTGGGAGACCCGGCCCTGTGGTGAGTGGTCCCCAGGGAGGGGCGTGGCGGCCGGTCCTCTGCAGGCCGTGCAGGGTGTGGGGGATGGAGGATTTGGTGCGCATGCCTTGGGGTGGCAGTGCCTTCCCCTCGGGTGCTATTTTCCTGCCCTTGTATTGCCTCGGCCGGGCCAAGCTCCGCCTGGGCAGGTCCAGGCTCTGTGGCCGGTGCCCACTCACTGCCCAGAATTTCCTTTAAAACCAGGAGAGATGGTCTGAGTTGCGTCTTGTCCCTTGGGGCCTGCACCCGAGCTGAGACCCCCCACAGACCCCCGGGGCCCACACCCTGTCCCCGGCATCCCCGCCGCCCCCCACCGCCTCCCTGTGCTGAGTGTCCCTAACCCAGGTGTGTCTCCCTAGGGCCCCCCCGGGAGTGGAGGCTTGAAGGGCGAGCCTGGAGACATGGGGCCACAGGTACGTCGGCTGCTGCCGGGAGACACGCCGGGGGCGGGTGTGGCAGGAGCGGGCAGCTCCGGCCCTCGCTTGGGTCCAGGCCGTGACCCTGGCCCGCTGCCCGGTGGCCGTGCTGGATGACAGGTGCCGGGAAAGGCTCTGCTTTGCCTCGGAGACACACGACAGGATGCTCACCCTTTGCCCTCTGATGCCAACAGGGTCCCCGCGGGGTGCAGGGCCCCCCTGGTCCCACTGGAAAGCCGGGGAGAAGGGTGAGTATGCGCGGCCCAGGAACAGCAGCCGGGCCCCTGCAGTGAGTCTGCCCCACCTCCCCCGGCGCCTGCACCCGCTCTGGCCCCCTGTCCCTTGGCCAGGCCCTCCGTGGTCAGGCCGGCCCCTGCTGGGGAAGGTTAATTCCACGTACAGAGCACGTTTAATTAACGCCGTGCCCAGCCCCTGTGGAGGCACAGGTGGGCCCGGCCCCTTCGGGCAGCCTCTCTGTCCAGAAATGGCGTCAGTTTGGGGGGAATGGCCGCTCCGTGCCCCTGCCCTGGGCAGCATGTGCTCTGACTGCCACCCTCGGGCCTGTCTCTCCTTCGTCCACTGGCCTTTCCTCGGCCTGAGTTGAGGAGGCCCGCAAGTGGTCAGCAGCCCGGGCCCAGCTGGCCCTGCGGCTGCAGATGACAGTCTGCCCCTCCGTTGCAGGGCCGGGCTGGAAGTGATGGAGCAAGAGGGATGCCGGGGCAGACTGGCCCCAAGGTAGGCTGCTGCCGGGCCTGCTGGGGCCGCACCACTCATTGCCTGGGGCGGCGGCCAGCTTGCTGGTCTCGGGACAGTGTGGCCACGGTGACCAATGTCCGGTGCCTGGAGGCTCCATGGGAGGGACCCTGTGAAGGCTGGGGGGGCGGGGGTGCACTCCACCAGGGGCGGGGCTCCCGGTACTGCCAGGAGGGGTTTGTTCTCAGGGTGGCGCATGGGGGCGGACCTGCCACCCTGAGCACTGCCCCGACTGTCGAGCTCACCTACGGAAGGGCAGCACGCACCCCTGTGTGCAGGCGCGCACATGCACATATAGGGGCGCAGCGCATGGGTATGTGCACTCATGTCACGCGTGACACACGTGGCAGTGGCCCCCAAGCACAGCCAGTCTCAGCACATCTGGGGTGTGGTCTGTGATGGGACAGAAGCCCCTGACCATTTGGGCCCCTTGCTGGTGTTTGGGGGACATGGCTGGGGATCCCGGATGCCCAAGGCCTTGGCCTGCATAGAGGGTCCTGGGCCCGATGCGCAAGGATGGCCTCCTAAGCAACCCTCTGTCCGGCAGGGTGACCGCGGCTTCGACGGCCTGGCTGGGCTGCCGGGAGAGAAGGGCCATCGGGTAAGTGTCCCCTTGTGAGTCCAGGCGCAGGCTGGGCGAGTTTCTGCAGAGGCGCTTCTGGCTCCAAAGCCCTGCAGACAGCCGTGGGCTTCGAGTGGGGCCGGGCCCTCGGGTCCGCTGTCGCGTGGGAGCCCTCGGGCCCGCTGTCAGGTGTGGGAGCCCTCGCGAATGCCCACTCACATCTTGGTCAGTGGTGGGTCAGCCCAAGCGGTGGTCTCTTATCTGCACTGGGTCCCAAGGGAGCCCGCCGGGCCCACCTCTCGAGGGCGTGCAGGGAGAACAGGAACCTGTCCTTCTAGAATTCTCTTTCTGTTTAGAGGGCCTCACATCTGTGGGAAACCCCAAATGGCCACTCTCTTGGGAGCTGCCCGGGACAGCGTGTGCTATTCGAGAGCTATCCGGGGGCTGTTGAAGAGGGGCCCGCCGTGCAGCTGGGGGGCCGGGGTCCCCGCTTGGGGTCTCCACGCCAGGCTCGGGCAGCTCAGCCACGACTCCTGCACCCTTGGACACGAACCCTCCCCCCGGGGCTCCAGAAGGGCTTCTGCACGGGGCGCTGGGCCTCAGGCTCCAGACAGGGCTGGGTCAGCCTGTGTCACCTGCTCGCGAGTGACAAAATGGCCCTCCTTGTTGGCTCCCTAGGGTGACCCTGGTCCTTCCGGCCCGCCGGGCCCTCCGGGAGACGACGGAGACAGGGTATGTCCGGGCGCCTCTCGTCTGTCTCCCCTGGGCTTGGGCAGGAAAGGAAGGGGCTTCCCTGTCCACAAAGGCTGGGCCCCCGATCTGGTTCCAGCCGGCGCAGCGCCTGGAAGGGGTCGGCACCCGTCTCGGGTCTCCCTCCAGGAGGGGGTGCCGGCGCAGGGAGGGGAGGTGCTGGGGCAAGGAGCTGGTGTCCCTGGTGCCTCTCAGAGCAGCTGGGTGCGGGAGAGAGTGAGGGAGGGCTTGCCCAAACTTGAGGATTGAGCCGGGGCACTGCACGTCTGGGGCGGGGGCGGGGCAGGGTGTCCAGCGGCCAAGGGCCGGTTCCCTGCTGCGCGTCAGGCGGCTCCCCGCCTGCAGGCTGAGGGGTCCTTGTTGCAACAGCTCTGGGCTTCCGGGAGAGGGTCGGGACCTCCCCTTTCACCTGCAGCGTCTTCGCCCCCGCCAACTCCCTGGGAGTCGGAACTGCCCCCATCCGGCTGCCCCGGGGACTGGTGGAGCTGGGGCGTGGGGTCAGCCCGAGGCCCGCTGGAGGGGACCTGCCTGCGGGCGTCCGGCTGTGCTGACCTGCCGCCGCTGTCCTCCCCCAGGGTGATGACGGAGAAGTGGGACCCAGAGGACTGCCCGGGGAGCCCGTAAGTCCCTGCCGGGGCACGCTCAGGCCCTGGGCTTCCTATTGTGACTCGGGGCTGCTGCCGGGATGTTGGGCCCACTGTGGGGTGTCGGGCCCCACCATGGGGGTGTTGGGCCCATTGTGGGAGTGCCAGGCCCACCGTCTGGGGGTGCCGGGCCCACTGTGACAGGCTGCACAGGCCCGCGTCAGCGGCATTGCCACCCGTCCTGACCTGGCCGGGAGTCTTCCGGGCGTGCCCCTGCCTGGGCTGGCATTGCTGCTGGAGCAGATCTCGGCAACAAGGACTCCCACTGCTTCCCGCTCCTCTCCGAGAGCCTCGCGTTGTCAGCTCATCCCGCGGCCGTGCGGGTGGCGCCGCTCACTGGGGAGAAACCCTGCAGCGGCTGCGAGGAGGGCGGGGGCCACGTCTGCGCGGTGGTGGGGGCAGGCTCGCCCCTCGGGGTCTGGCCAGCGCCAGGGGAACTGACCGGCCAGCTCCCTGGAGCACACGCCTGAGCCCCCCGTCCCGGGCCACTGTCAATAGCGCTGTGCGGCCGGGCGCTGAAACTCCGAGGAAACGGCGACCAGCGTGGTCAGAGCTTCGGCGCCTTCCCCAGAGCCTCTGAAAAGGCCCTGAGAGTTGAAGGGCGCTTGACCTCTGCACAGTTAAAGGGGGTCACCCCCAGGCACTGGCGTGGAGCCCTGGGGGCAGCTGTGGCCATCATCTTTGAGCTCGTGGCTGTTGGGGATGGCGCTGGCCGGGACGGGCGCCCCCAAGTGCCCCTCGCTGCCGGCCACCATGACCGTCCCAGAAAGCGCTGAGCTCCCGGCCCCACCCTGTGCCCTGGTCGCACGGCCACGCCGCCCGCCTGGCTCCGGCCCTCTGTCCCTGCCGCAGTGGACGCTCGCATCAGAGGCCTTCACCCAGCGGCCGGGCTGTGGAGAGAGCCAGTCAAGAGGGCAGGACGAGAGCTGCCATGCAGCAGGGGATAGTCTGGGGGCTCTATGTCCCCCAAGGGGTGCAAAAGGACCTCCTTAACATGAGTGGCTTCCCCATCCCTGCGGCCCCGTGATCCCCGGCAATCTTGTCCCGTGCCGGGCCCACCCCTGGCTCCCCATGCCCCAGGGCAGGGGCTGGGTCACCGAGCCCCGCTCTCTTTCCTCTGGCAGGGGCCACGTGGTCTACTGGGGCCAAAGGGGCCCCCCGGCCCTCCTGGACCTCCCGTAAGTCTGGTCACCTGCCTGCACCTCCATGCCCAGTTCCCCAGCTTGTGGCCACACCGGCCGTGGGGCTTCACCTGGTGGGGGCGGGGGCTGAGTCCACTGGGAGCCCGGCCGGTGTTGCCACTGCCCTGCCACCCCTCCTGGGGCCTGGGCGTGCCCACTTCCTGCACGTATCACCTGCCCTGATAAAAAGCAGCCTGGATGCCCTATTTTCTCCTGGCTGAAGCACTTCCTGCAGCTTCTGGAAGGTTCTGGGAGGAGGCAGGAGCCCCAGGTTTCTGTGAGGCTCTGGCCCAGTGGGCAGCTTCCCCAGGGTGGGTTCTGGCCCATCGCCCCCGGCCTCTGCCCTGCTCCCTGGACCCAACGGGCCTGCCCATGAGCTGACCGGCCCCCCGCTCCCTGCTGTGCCCGGCACATGCTGCCATGGCCTCCTGGGGCAAGCGGTTTCCCTTCTCACCACCTGTCCTCGGGCCCTTGGGCTCTCTTTTCTAAATCTCAACCAGGGCGTGACAGGGATGGACGGCCAGACAGGCCCAAAAGGAAATGTGGTAAGTCTCAGGGTTGCCCCCCACCCCCGCCCCTGCGATTTCCTGGGTTTGCTCCTAGTTGCCGTCCAAACGGGAGGGCAGAGCCCAGCGCCTGGTGTGGGCTGGGACAGGCTGGGCTATGGGGTACCCCCACCAGGCCTGGGGTCAGCGGCCAAGAGTGGGGCCCACACTGGGCCTCATGCCCACCTGTTTCAAGGGTACCAGGAGGCTTTAGCTCAAATTTCCTGCCACATGGACTGTTTCCCGGTCAGTTCCTATCACGTACCCCTCCTGGGCGGCTGTGTGGCAATACTGCCCCTCATGTCAGGGTCAGGGGCAGAGGGACTGCGGACCCCGGGTCCAGGCACCCTCCAGAGCCCCTGCTTTCCTTCCCTATAGGGACCCCAGGGAGAGCCTGGCCCCCCAGGACAGCAGGGCAATCCAGGTGCCCAGGTGAGTGACCGGTGTGGGCTCTTGGGCAGTGGGCAGTGGGGGACAGGCCCGGGTGCCCGGGTGTGAGCAGCCCCTGGACGCTGCCCCCACGCCTGTCAGCCCGAGGAGCGCAGCTGGCCATGACCTCGGGGCTGGTGGCCAGAACAAGGAGCAGTGGGCAGGGCCCCTGACCCTTCCTGCTGACTCTCTCCTCCAGGGTCTCCCAGGCCCCCAGGGTGCCATCGGTCCTCCAGGAGAGAAGGTAAGTGGGCTGAGCTGGGTGCAGGGCCACCACCTGCCCGCAGAGGGTGCCCCCTTCCTGGGGTGAGTGCAGGGCTCTGGGATGGGGGGTCAGGTCACTGTGAAGAGAGCAGGTCTTGGCCCGTGGTTTTGAGCCTGTCTACTCCCTTACTCGCTCTCCGGCTCTCTGGAGGGCGGCCAGCTGGCAGGAGATGCCCACTGGGTATCTTGTCTTGTTTGTTTTCATTTGGTTTGGTTTCTGCAGAATCCGGCAGCCCTGAGTAGGCCCTGGGCCCAGGTGCATGCTGCCGTGACCCTGGGAGATCCTTCCAACATGGTGGGGGGGTGGGCCCTGCAGGCCTGGGGCCCACCTGGACAGAGCCTGGGCTCGCCTGGCGGGTGGCTCGTCCCAACAGCAACCTGGGAAGGCGTGGCTGCAGCCGGCCCATTGCACCCTTGCTGGTGCCGGGGCCTGGTCCCTCTGCAGAAGTGCTGAGAAGTGGCCTTGGGGGGAGATGAGCCCCAGGACTCAGGGCATTTGCTTGTTCTAGGGCCCCTTGGGTAAGCCAGGCCTCCCAGGAATGCCCGGCGCTGACGGACCCCCGGTGAGTGCCCTGCCTGCCCCTTTTCTGCCTCTCTCACACACACGAACACTCACACATGCACACGCACTCACACTCGTGCTGTCCGAGGGAGGGGCCTCTGCCTCAGCCCTTTCTCCCTCCGGCTCTGTGGATGGAGACATGGGGGCGGCTCCTGAGTGCCTGCTCACTGCGCCTCGGACACGTGCTCTGCTGCCAGCGGGTGGTGATGACGCCTGGGCGAGGGGTCTCTGCTGGGGTGTGCGAAACTCACCGTGAGGGCCGGGCTGGCTCCCAGCAAGCGCAGCCGCAGTGTTGGGCCCGAGTGTGTGTGCCGAGGGTATTTTGAGCACTTACCACTGAGCAGGACGGTCCTCAGACGCGCGTGCGCAGCGGGGAGCCCCATCAGACCGCCTGGTGACAGCCCCACCTGAGGCTGAGCTGCGGGAAGGCAGAGGGGGAGGCGGCGAATGCTCAGTGTGCGTGTGCACCTCTGTGCATGGCACGCGTGTGCATGGTGTGCACCTGCGTGTGTGAGCTGGGCCACCCCCGCACATCAGCACGGGGGGACCTGCAGTGACTGTCGTTAGGTGCTTCCAGTTACATTTCCACTTAACTGCTTTTTCTAATTATAGAAAAGCCTGTCTTGTGGCGGAAAATTAGGAAAATAAATAAATGACAAAATGAAACGCCCCGCCCTGCCCCAGGCCAGGCGTCCCGTCATCTTCCCCTTGCCCAGCGCGCTTCTCGCCCAGCGCAGTGCTCTCTGCCGCCCGGTCACCTGGCCTGCGGGAAGTGCCCTAGGGAGGCGCCCCGTCTCAGGCAGGGCTGGGTTAGGGGCCCCGGGGGACAGCATCCTCCCCTACTTGGGCACCCAGGGCCCATGGGCCGCCCCCCACCCCCAGCTCCCTCCTGTGCCCTGAACACTGTGGGCGGTGCTCCCAGCAGGGCAGCGGGCCTGGCCAGGGGGCCAGTGCTGGCGCCTCTTGGTTCTGGCTTAAGAAAGGACCAGGGGGGGCTGAAACAGACCCCAGGGCGCAGTGGAGATGTGTTGACGGAGCGAGTCGGGTGCCAGAGGATCGGGGAGCGGCCGTGCGCTGGCCCACGGCGCGCTAGCTCGAGGTCTCGGCCGGACGCTGCATCACGCCCCGCCTGTGCAGGGCCAGCAGGCCAGGCCCGGGAGCTGTTTAATCGATTCCCAATTGTCTGCTGGGACCATCTGTTACTTTTTTAATCAGAAAGAAATCCCAAACACATAATGTATGCCTTGTTATCTTCCCATTACGCACGTAATTATAGAATATTAGAAAACGCAAGCAGAGAATGGCCGGCCCCGCTCTGCGGGAAAACGAATCACTCTTACCCGGTGCATTTTCTCTCCGTCCCTTTCTGTTCAAAAACTTTGAATAAATGAGCTTAGGGCTCCCCGCCTGCACCCAACCCCCCACCCCCGCCTGGCGCTTTCGCTATCTCCTTGCACCTTAAAATGTGTCTGAAGGAGAAAGGAACTGGCCTCAGCTCAAATAATGGAGCAGTTGGCCCCGCCAGCTTGATAACAGCCCCCCTGGGGTCCTGGGCCCTGCGCCCCCACCCGAAAGTGCGGAGGTGATGGGGTATTCCCAGGCGGCCCCACGTGGGCCGGTGGCATGCCCCCTCCCTAACCCCTGCTCCAAGAGCCTGGGTGTGGGCTGTGACCGCTCAGCAGGAGCGGCGGGGACGCCCAGGGGCTGGTCCCCTAGAACCGTACTCTCCTGCCGGGTTGCCTGGGAGAGGCGCCCATGGCACTGCCCCTTGCCCGCCAGGTGTGCCCAGCGCTCCCCTCCACTGCGGCTCTGGTCCCCGCTGGCCTGCACAGCCCACTCTCCAGAGGCAGCAGCGAGGACCTAGGACGAGTGGACGAGGCCAGGCCAGGGGGTCAGGAGGGAGCTGTGCGGGACTCCAGGGCCCGCCGCCTCTGTCTTGGCAGAGAGGGGAAGGATTTTGTTCAGACTCGGGGGCAGTCAGAGGGGCTCTGCTGTCCTAGGCGGGCATGGGCAAGCCCTGCCTTCTCTCTTCTGATTCTGACAGGGGCATCCTGGCAAAGAAGGCCCGCCCGGAGAGAAAGGAGGCCAGGTGGGTGCCCGCATCTCCCCGCCCCTCGTGTCTCCTGCTGGAGGGTCTCTGGCTCAGCCTCACTCAGGGGCGCCCCAGGCAGGGAGCCTGCAAGGGCAGACTCAGCCTGCATCAGGCTTCCAGGCTGGACAGTAATGCCCAGAGCAGAGCCCTTGTGTTGGGCCTGGCCTCTCTGGCCACCCTGCTGGCTCTGCCTGGGGGCGGGGCCCTGCTGACACCCCCAGGACAGCAGACCCGAGCCCACTGCACATGGCTTCCCGGCGCCCGGTCTGAGGGTCAGTCCTCCCCCTCCCCTTTCCCAGAAGTCACAGCAGCCTCTGGGGTCGACCCCCTCGGGGCCCCTGCCCCAGGCTCCAGCTTGGTTACCTGGTGCCGGAGGCCCCGGGCCCAGCGGACCCCTTCCCGGCGCATCCTGCTGTGGCTCCTGCCCACTCACGCCCTCGTTCCAGGGCCCAGGACTCGGGGTCAGAGCTGGTTGTAGTTCCCAGGCGACATGGGTTCTGGAGATGTGCCCTGCACTGTTTGTGATCGAGGCCACTCTGGCTGGCACCCGCCCCAGCCTGCACCTACTGCAACCGGCCCTCCCGCTCCAAGTCCCTTCCCAGCCGGGGTGCTCCCTGTCGACACCCAGCCCGCCCTCCCCAGCGCCTTGTCTCGGGGCTTCATGCGTCACAAGGCCCAGCCTGCTGGGCCCCATCCATGGGGCTGACATGGGCCGGCCCTGCATGCCTCCTGGGCTCTGCTGGACATGCCCTTGGGCTGGACGGACACTGGCCAATGAAGGCGAACTTTCCGCCTGGTGCTGGAGGACCAGGTGGGGACAGCATGAAGCGGCTGGACAGATGGCCGGACAGGCGGAGCTGATGCCTTTCTGCTGTGTTTCAGGGTCCGCCTGGCCCCCAGGGTCCCCTCGGCTACCCAGGTCCCCGAGGCGTCAAGGTGAGATCTCCCAGCCCAGTCTTCCCTGAGGCCAAGACAGGCCTGTGGTCCAAGGGGCCTGGGCGGGGAGGAGGTTCCTGGGAAGCCAGCTTCTCCTGCGCGAGCAAGAGGCTGGAGGGTAAGGGCTGAGCGTGACGCTGGTGACGGCTCTGCCTGTTCATGCTGCACAGCCCGTCGCGTAGAAGTCCTGCGCTCGGCCAGCTGCACCCACGCCCCGCACCTCAGCGGTGTCTGCTTTAAAGTGTCGCAGGATGCGAATGTCCTGTCTGTCCAGCCGACTCAGCCGTGACGAGAGCGAGCCGGGGTGGGGGGGGCAGGGAGGCGGGAGAACACGGCCGCTGGTGAGGCGCCCACAGCCCAAGCCAGCTCAGCAGCCCTCGAGGCCCACAGTCTCTGTGAGGAGGCCAGCTCTCCTCCTGAGTGCCCTGCGCCCCGAGAAAGGGCGCCCTTTGGTTCTTTTCTTGGGTTGTGCTGACCTGTAGAAGCCTCTGCGTCACCCCACACCTGCCCCAGGTGCATCCCCCACACCTGTCCCAGGTGCATCCCTCATACCTGCCCCAGGTGCATCCCCCACACCTGTCTCAGGTGCATCCCCCCCACACCTGCCCTAGGTGAGACAAGCAGCGACTCACACACGCCTCTGCAGGTGCTGGGTGGGCCGGCAGGGGACCCCAGTAGGGATTCTCAGTCCCTCTGGGTCTCCCCCCGCTTCCCTTGCCCCGCCGCCTGCCCTCGCTGGTGCCGCCCCTTTGTCCCTGCCCCGTACTGGCACTGCCTTCTCAGCCAGACTTGGTCTTGCTCTGGGGACACGTGAGGGTTAGGGGATGCTGGGTGGCCCGCCCAAGTAGGGCGTGGGGTCATCCAGTGGGCACACTCCACATCCAGTGGGCACACTCCAGTGGGCAGGCTCCACGCCCTGCAGTGCCTGGGGGCCACAGCCAGGGAGACCCAGCCCAGTGTCAGCAGTGCCCTGGCCCGTCCCCTGGCCTGTGCCTTGGCCTCCCCCATGGGTGCTGAATGGGTAGAGCTTTGGGCCTGGGGAGGGGTCTCTTGTTTCCAAAGGGCCGGGAAGCCCACTGGCCCACCTAGTAGGAGGGGGATGGGCTGGCGGAGTGTGCAGGGCACTGTGCCAGGGAGTCTGGGGAGAAGAGACCCCAGATCTGTGCCTCCCGGGGCCCCATCAAGGACAGGAGGTTGGACCCCACATCTCCCTGCTCTCGGGATCCAACGTACTTATAGGTTTGCCCCAGGCTGCCCAGCCTCCCGGGTGGCTCCTGGTAATAAGACAGAGAACCCTGGTAGGGAAGGCCTGGCCCGCAGCCCCTCCCTGGAAGGGCTCCCATGCTTGGGCTTTGCCCCCCAGCCTATGGGTCTGCCCCTTCAGAGGCAGCCAGTCCTGCTCAGCATGTTCTGCCCTGGCAGGACGGGGAGGGGCTTGTCGGAGCTCTACTGGCTCTACTCACCGGACCAGCGGGAAACTCTGAACCCCGACCGCAACATCTGGGGTGCGGCCAGAGCTGGGGGCTTGCCTGTGCGGCTGCTGACTCTCCTTCTCTCATCTGCACAGGGCGCAGATGGCATCCGCGGCCTGAAGGGCACCAAGGGCGAGAAGGTGGGTGTTCTGGCCTCCCAGCAGCCGCTGCCGAGCCCCGGGACACAGAGCTGACTCCGCGGACGCAGAGGGCAGAGGGGCCGGGGTGGGGTGCCCTCACTGTCCCACATGCTCTCCTGTCCCCCGTCCAGGGTGAAGATGGCTTTCCTGGATTCAAGGGCGACATGGGCATCAAGGGTGACAGGGTGAGTGCCCACGGCAGGGAGGCGGAAGCCCCCGGGAGGCTGTGGGAGGCTGCAGCGGCCACTGCACGCACCCTGCACAGGGTCGTTGGCCACGGCTGCCGCCGCCGTGGTTACTCCCAACCGCACAGGTGCCTGGAAGGTGCCAACCCTGGAGCCCAGCAAGCTTTGCGCCTTGCCCCGCCTCGAGGGGCAGCGCCGTTAGCACCTCCACAGCCGGCGGACACTTCACAAGCCGTCCAGCCACGCTGCTGGGAGGGCCTGCTGTGCTTGGACTTTCTCCCTGGTGGGAGGGCCTCCTCCGCTGGCCTGACGCTCAGTGCTCACGCTGGGCCCCCAGGAGGGCACACGTGCTAGGAGTGGGCAGGAAGACCACTCGGCGCCCCCCAGCCCCAGAGCGCACCTGTGGGGACGAGGCCGCGTCTGTCCGGCCTGGCCTCCGTGGCTGATCTGCAAAGCCCTTCTCGGGGACACGCACCTCACGGCAGACAAACAGGGCTCAAGACCAGGAAGCCATTGGCTCCTCTTCACCAGCCCCGGCGGCTGCTCCTGCACGCTGCGCTCCTGGGCCGCTGGGGGACGCCGTCTGCCCCTGAGCCCCTCCCTGCTGGGGCTGGGGCTCCTCCCGTGGCTTGGGGAAGCTCCCCGCTTTTCCGTTTCTGGGGTGTCCTGGGTGCCTGGTGCCCGGCCAAGGCCCAGGACCCCGCGTACCCAGGTCAGAGGTGAAGCCCAGGGGGCTCAGGGGTTCTGTTCTATTGGGGGGTGAGGGTAGCGATTCTGAGCCACTTCTGTGAGCCAAAGGCCCACATTTCAGTGAGAGGCCTGGACACCGAGGTCGCGGGAGGTGTCCGGGTGCGGCCTCGAGGAAACAGCCCCACTCTGCACCAGAGCCGCGCCGGGGGTCGGCGCTCCTCTGGGCGGGGACGCCGGGGCGCTCTGTCCACTGAGTGAGCCCCGGGGTCTCCGCTCCAGAGGCCTGGGTCCCGCGTCTCCCTCCAGACAGAGGCGGGGGTCATGTGGGGCTGGAGACTGGGGCGCCCCTCACTCCTTCTTTTGAACTTGCAGGGGGAGGTCGGCCCACCTGGGCCCAGAGGAGAAGACGGCCCCGAGGGCCCGAAGGGGCGTGGGGGCCCCAACGGCGACCCCGGGCCCCTGGGCCCCCCCGGGGAGAAGGTACAAGGCTGGCCAGGCCCCCCCTGCCGCCCCAGCCGCTGCGCTTGTGGAAGGGGCACTTCCTTGTCCTGAGTTTGGTCTTTGGGTGCTGGGGCCCCCGGCAGAGCTCCTTCCTCCAGCCGCAGCCAGGGTGGGGGTCTCCCGACACACAGCCGTCCTTCCAGCGCAGGAGGCTGCCCCCGGCGCCCCGCACCCATCTATGCCCCATGGCACTCCCCGAAGCTGTGCATTGGGGTGGCCAGGTCGGCCCAGCCCTCCCGCCTTGTCCTGAGGCCGGAACTCTGCCAGGAAGGGGCCAAGGGCGGTGTCGCAGCCAAGGGCTCTCCTGCCCCGCCGGGGCCTCTGCCTCCGGCTAAGCCGAGTTACGGCCCGACCTGATTCTGGAGCACGGGACGCCTCCCAGGGTCCCGCGCTCCTCCGGCCGCTGGCACCGCAGCCCTGGCACCGCGGGCGGTGGGTGGTGGGCGGCAGAACACGGCCTCACTGCAGCCCTCTTCCGCAGGGAAAGCTTGGAGTGCCGGGGCTGCCGGGCTACCCAGGAAGACAAGGGCCGAAGGTACGTGCCGCCTGCTGGCTGCGGAGGGGCCCACACCGGGCCCCACCCTTGGACGGCGGGACGGACAGCGGGCGCTGCCCATCTCCTGGCTCTGGCATCCGCGGCTGCCATTCACGTGGCCACGCGGGTGGGAAAGAGGCGCTTGCAGGCTAAGCAGTCTTTACAAGAGGGGACACACGCAGCCCCCAGGGCTGGCCCTCACCCTGGCACCCGGGGCCGTGCCCACCGGCTGCCCCTCCAGCGTGCGGACGCCTCTCGGCTCTGCGTCAGCCTGGCGGCGTGAAGAGGCGTGATGGCCCCCAAGCGTGGGGGACGCGAGGACTTCCCCCGGAAGTCGTGCCTGCCGTCGGCCGCAGCCCTGGGCCCCGATCACTGAAACGTCATGTTTCGTTCAAATCTCGCCATTGTTCTTGCCTCTTCCCTCAGCAGCAGCCTCGCGGGCGTGCTTAACGCCATCCCGCTGGCTGGGCCGCCCGCCGCCCCCCTCTGGCTCGTGGGCACCCCTTGGTGTGTCCGTCTAGGCTGTGCGGCCTCCTGTGGACGCTGGCACTGCGCCTGTGTGTCCAGGCTACTCGGGGCCCTGCCCTGGGGGGTGGCGTGTTCGCCCTCCAAGCCCTTGAGCCTTTGGGGAGACAGGACAGAGTAACTGGGAGAGACCGGGATGGGAGACCAAGTTCAGGCGGCTTTGGAAAGGCCAGGGCAGGGTTTTAAGCTGCCGGTCGGTGTAAGTCGCTGGCGGTGGCTGGACGCGCGGGTGGTCCCCTGCGTGGTCCCCTGCACCCGGGCTGAGACTGAGCTCCGGGCCGGCGCCCGGCTGTGCCTGATGGTCGCTTCCCGGCCCTGTCTGTGGGCACGGCAGGGTGGCCGCGCTCTGCCCTGGAAGGGAAAGACGAGGCTTAGAGGCCCCAGCGCACACTCGGGGGAGGATCTAGCCACAGTGCGGGGCCCGCCTGGATGTGACTTCCTGAGGGCAAGGGGCGCCGTGACAGCACGGGGCGTCCACGCAGCAGGCGTGCGGGTGCCGGGCAGACCCGCAGCCACGCCCACCCTCCCCTGGGGGGGCTTCACTGCTCTCTGGAACTAAATCGCTGCCAGACCCTACAGCCCCATTTCCATCCGCATCTGAATTCCAAGCTTCGGGGCTTTGTTTGTGGGTGTTCGGGAGAGAGAGCGGCATGAGAACCAGCGCGGGAGGCTCAGCCTCGCAGGTGTGAGCGCACTCACCTGTCATCCCGTGCATCCTGGCTGCACGCGGGCACTGGCGCCCCACGGACGCGGGTGTGAGAGCACTGTGGAGGGCGGGGAGGGAGGGCCCGACTCAGCTTTGGGTTTGGATCCAGGATCTGTGAGGTGCTCGGGAGATCGTCATGCTGCGGGTGGGTGGAGGGTGGATGTAGTGAGTGGAGGGAGGGGTGGGTGCGATGGGGTGGGAGGGGTAGGTGGGTGGGTGGGTGGCTGACTGGATGAGCAGGTGGATGGGTGGGTGGATGAGGCGTGTTGGGGTGATTGGGTGGGTGGTGGCGGTGGGCAGGTGGATGGTGGGTGGGTGTGTAGGTGTGTGGGTGTGTGGTGTGTAGGTGTGTGGGTGGGTGGAGCTTGTGCCAGAGGCAGACCCCCGCCGGCACATGCTGTGCAGCTGCCCCCGCCTGCCCAGCTCTCACCCCCTCCCATCCCTCACTCTCTTGCAGGGCTCGATTGGATTCCCTGGCTTCCCGGGCGCCAATGGAGAGAAGGGTGGCAGGGTAAGGACGGCGGCCTCGCTCTGTGTCTGGGCGTCGCGGGCACAGTCTCCAGGCTGCTTCGTGTATTTCTCACCCACTGTGCTGCCAAGAGCCTCGTGGACGATGGCCAGCAGCACCAGGGCGACGAGTCTTCCCAAACCCTGGCGGTGGGGGTGCTGGGAGAGGCCGCGCGGCCCCGGGGCCACGGGCACTGCTCTCTCTGCCCGAGGGCTGCTCTCCGGGCCAGTTTTGAAAGGCGCGGAGACGGACGTCTTACCCACGTTCTCCCGCCCCTGCCAGCCCAGATTCACTCTTGCCTTTCCAGCTGCCACCGCCCCGAGCACCCACTGGGGAGCCGCAGCCGCCCTGCGTGTGGTTATGGGGACACGGGCGGCGGGGCCAGCTGGGGCAGCTCTGCTCGCCCTGGAAGCTCCTCAGGAGACGGCCATGGTGCCTGGGCACCGCCTCTCGGGATGGCGGGTCCTGATGGCCCCCGGGCTTGGCGCTGCGCTGGCCTGTGCACAGGCGCGGGTGGGGGACGGCACACGGTCGGGTGCTTGCAGGACAGCCTGCAGAGCCTCCTGGGGGGGCCAGCTGGGGAGGAGGTCTGCCCACTCTCCTGGCCCCTGCGGCTCCCCCACCCATGGGCTGGGCCTCCTCAGAGGACAAGCTTAGGCCATCACTGCCACTTGGGGCTGAGCTCTCCTCAAGCAGGGGACTCTCAGCTGGTCCCTGCGAGCAGCGTGTCTGCCAGCTTCACACAACAGAAGGAAGGGCGTGTCTGAGCGCCAGTGGGCAGCATAGGACCATCCTCCAGCTCTCCGGGCACCTGGGGCTCTGTCTCCACAGCTCCCGCGTATGCTCCCCTGCATCCTCGCTGTGGCTGCGTGCGGCTCTCCATGTGGGCAGCTGTCTGCTCTCTGCCCACCTAGTTCTTCTCTCTGCCCTCCCACCCACCATCCCTCCATCATCCATCCATCCATCATCCGTCCATCATCCATCCATCATCCATCATCCATCCATCCATCATCCGTCCATCCATCATCCATCATCCATCCATCCATCATCCGTCCATCCATCATCCATCATCCATCCATCCATCATCCGTCCATCCATCATCCATCATCCATCCATCCATCATCCGTCCATCATCCATCCATCATCCATCATCCATCATCCGTCCATCATCCATCCATCATCCATCATCCATCCATCCATCATCCGTCCATCCATCATCCATCCATCATCCAACTATCATCCAACATCTATCATCCATCCATCCATCATCCGTCCATCATCCATCCATCATCCATCCATCCATCATCCATCCATCATCCATCCATCCATCATCCATCCATCCATCCATCCATCCATCATCCATCCACCATCCCTCCATCATCCACCCATCCACCATCTATCCATCCATCATCCACACATCACTGACCCACCCACCACTGTGTGTTTCTTGCCACCCCCCTTATCTACCCACTCACCCACCCACCTAGTTCTTTTGTGTACGTGCGGGCATATGTGTCCTCTGTCTGCCCACCTCCAAGTCTGCGCGCCTATGTTGTATGCATGTCCTGTTCCTGAGCTGAGCCCAGACCCTCCCGCTTGGCCAGGCCCCGCAGGGACCTGACGGAGCCCGTGTCCTGCCGTGCACTGCGTGTGCAGGGAGAAACCCCCGAGCGGGGCCTGGGCGGATGGCACACTGCCCTCCCCACCCAGAGAGAGAGAACGGGAGTGAGGGGCCTTCACTCGGGAATCTCCCCGGGGAAGGAAGGCGGTCCCAGTTTGCCCTGGAGCGCAAGTGTGCGTCCCGGGGCAGCGGAGTGGGGCGGGGGGGGGGGGGGGCTCTCCGCTCCAGGTCTCCCTGGGGCTTCGCCGGGGCTGCAAGCTGAAGGGGGCATGCTGGGGCACCAGGGGCGGTGACTGCACCACCTGAGGGCTCAGCAGGGACAGCCCCAGTCCTGTCCTTGGGAGCCCCTTCCTGGGGGCCAGAGAGCAGTGATGGTGGCGCTGCCGTGGGGAAAGGACGGCGCGGGCGGGGTTTGGGGTGACCCACCCCGAATGTTAGGTGGGGGCAGCAGGGGGCGGCAGATGCAGGGCGGAGCATCCGCAGAGGCTGCCGAGGGTCAGGGGCGGGCTGGGGTGCGGGCCGGGGCGGGAGGGGCCCCCGCGGTGGGGCTGGTCAGGGCCAGGGCGTGGGTCCGCGGGGCAGGAGTGAGGACGTGGCGGTGAGCGCACCCGCCAAAGCCCAGGCGTCTCCGCCGGCGGCCAGCCTGGCACTCCAGGAAAGCGGGTGTTCCGTCCGTGTATCGCCAGGGGCCGGCGGGTGTCGCCGTGCGGTCCGCGGGAGGCCGCCGCTGTGTCTTAGAGCGGCCCCGTCCCTCACCACCAGGGACGCTTTCATTAAAGCATTTCAAAGTGGGGCTCTGGGAGGTGGTTCGGGCCTGGCAGTGCCCGCGGGAAGGTCGGAGGGGGAGGGACGACCCACCCCAGGCCTCTGGCCAGGACCCCGGGGCCGCCCCCGCTGTGGGTGTGGGAGCCTGGCGGGGCCGGCGGGGGCTCCCCGGGCAGCCGCTGGGGCTCTGCGCCGGAGGAAATCCAGCGGGTTTGCTCGCCGTGGCTTGGAAAATGCAAAGCACCACAGCAAAAGGCGTCTAAATTCTATTAGAGCAGCAAATGGCTCTCGGATGTGTGATTTATGCGTTAAATTGCAAGTTCGCGCGTCTGCAGAGCCTGTTGAAAATTTAATGGCTAATATTCTTAACTGTAGCAAAAGTAAATTATGGATGAAAGGGGTTGACTCTCTTCTCTTCTTGCAATAACGATCCCCGCCCCCCGCCCCAGAGGAGGGGAGCGAGGCAGGCAGGTGTGGGGGAGGAGGGAGGACGGAGGTGGGAGACCAGCTGAGCAGGAAACCCCCGCCAGGGAGAGCATCAGGTTTGCACCGCCTTGTGCAGGGCCCTGGGCCTGTGACTGCGTGCGTGGGGCCCTCGCCCCGAGAGATGTCCTAGAAGCGCTGGGGGGAGGGGGGTGTCCTGCTTCCTTGCCTCACAGCCTGCCCTACCCAGCAGGGCGGTGACCGCATGTCCGGGCACTGACCAGCCCTCTTCTCTGGTTCCAGGGCACGCCTGGCAAGCCGGGACCCCGGGGACAGCGAGGACCCACGGTAACCACCCTTGGGGCGCGAGGCGCCGTCCCCAGAGTCGGGAGCACGCCATAGGGGACGCGGGTGGGGGGGCGGCCGCTGGCATCTGGAGGGTTGGAGCTGACCTCTCTTCTCTCCGCCTGTCCAGGGTCCGCGGGGTGAGCGAGGCCCCCGGGGCATTACTGGGAAGCCTGGCCCCAAGGTACGCTTTGGTCTTCTCTGTTGCTGCGATGCTTCTGGGAAAAAGAAAAAAAAGATATTTGTGGGGTATTTAAGAAGGAGCTGGCCCCCCGCAGTCCCCTCAAGATAAATTAGGTGAACGTGAGCGGCGGCTGCAGGTGAGGCAGAGCAGAGCAGGCCCACACCAAGGGCCGGGCAGCTCCCAGCAGGCCCCAGGGCCCGGCTGCCTGTGGACAAAGCCCACGCGGTGCTAGGGACACGGCTTTTCCTGCTTCTCAGGAACAGGGATATGAAACTGTTGCCAGGAATCTACAGAAAGTTCTTTCTGGCCTGCTGAGAGCCTGGACCTACCTGTCCCAGCCTGTGCTGGAGCCCTGCTCCCTCTTCTCTGGGGTCCCTGGGGAGAAGGACCTCAGCCCAGGGCCCTGATGCCCCTGCTGCCCGGCCAGGCCCTCAGAGAGGGCCCTCCCAGCCCGCTGAGTTGAGCCCCCAGGAACCAGAGGCCTGTCGGTCTCCCCCTGGACCCTGCATGAGTCCTGGGGTGGGGGTGCCCCTCGTCCTATCTCCACGGACTGTTGCTGGGCCCCGTCTGCAGCAGGACGCTGTCCCAGGCGGTGCACTCCTGGCGGCGGGGTGCAGAGGCAGGAGCACGGCGGCCTTGGGACCAGGGTCAGCCAGGCGCGCGTGGCCCTCGGGGGCCGCAGGGTGAGGCTGTGAGGTTCCAGGCATCAGGCCAGGACTTTCATTAAACAGCATCATAAGAACAGCGATAACAAGCCTTCTCTGCCCCCTCCCCAGGGCAACTCCGGAGGTGACGGTCCCGCCGGCCCCCCTGGAGAACGGGTGAGCTCCTGACCGGGCCGGGAGAGGGCGCCCACCGCGGGGCTGGCTGTGGGATTCCTGCCTGGGGCGGTGGGTGCTGCTCCCCAGCACAGCCTCCCTTCTGCCAGTTGAAGGCAGTGGCGCCATGCACCTGGGCCTGGTCTCAGAGTTTGGGGGGCTGAGACTGGGAAACTGGGCTGTCACCCCTGACGAGGGGCCAGCTCTGCCTCCTCGGGGCTGCCTTGGTTGCCTCCTCTCTGGGGGCCGGAAGAAATGGGGAGAAGCCCTGGGGCAGGAGAGGCTGTGCCAGCCCACCCGCCGGGGAGGGGGTGCCTGTCTCTCAGCCATCCCTCTATGCCCCCAGGGACCCAATGGACCCCAAGGACCCACAGGCTTTCCTGGACCAAAGGGCCCCCCGGTGAGTAATGCCTCTTTCCCCGCCGGCCAGCGGGAGAGGGAGGCCTGAGCCCACTCTGGCCTGGTTAGGTGGGGCACAGACCCCGGTCCATCGCCCGGAGGGGAGCTCGATCAGGCCGATACGGAGCTCCAGGCCGGTGCCCGTGCGTGTCCTGGCTGCCGGGGTGAAGAGCCACACGAGGCCGGCCGGCGTGGGGTCGGGGGCGGGCCGGGGTGAGCTCCACCTGAGCTGCTGGCCCCTGCCCCCCACGTCCTCAGTCCCTGTCTTTTGGAAAGATCCCATGGCTGGACCCGGCCCCAGTCGTAGTGAGATCAGTCTCGGGGCCGGTGCGGCCGTGGGTGGGAAAGCACCCGCTCCTCAGGCCCGAAGGGACCGTCTCTTGTGCTTCTCCCTCAGGGTCCTCCGGGCAAGGATGGGCTCCCGGGACACCCTGGACAGAGAGGCGAGACGGTGAGTATGTCGGGGACGCTGTCCCCTCTGCAGGTCAGCCTGCCTGTCCAGAGCCCGGCTGGCCAGGGGGGCAGAGGGCAGCTTGGGTCCTCCAGGTCACACTTATAACCTTGGTGATGCAAAGCCAGGGCCAGGGCCCCGGACACCGCGCGGCCTCTCCTTCCTCCAGAAAGCCAGTGTCGTCCCCAGCTGCCTCGTGACCTCAGGACGCGCTGGCACTGCCCGCCGAGCCTGTCCCCACCCTCTGGCCTCGGTGCTGTGAGGACAAGGGGTGCGGGCAACGTGGGTTCCAGCCAGCCTTGTGGCCATGCAGCTGTGCCCGCCTGTCGGCATGGCATGGACAGTGGCTCTTGGCAGAAGGAAAAATCTCACCAAATATGGTCGCTCCCTGCCTCCTGTCCTGTGGGCTCGAGGCTCAGGCCTGGACACTGACGGCCTGGATGGCCTGGCGACCTCCTCGTCACCCCAAGCGGCCAGCCGGAGCCCTGGGTGAGCGGCCAGCCCCACAGGGCCCCGGGGACCCCGACGGAGGACACTCGCAGCCCGGCTCGCCGAACCTGCCACTCCGGAGCCCTCGTCCCCTGTGGCCCGTCATGGTGAAGCCTCTTAACTACGCCCGCCCGGTGCACTGGGCTGGAGCACGGGCCTGAGGATGGAGGTCACTTCGCTCTTTTATCTATAGAGAAAAATGAAGACCCTTCGTCTCCACGCTGCCTGTCTCTCCGAGCAACTTCCTGAGGAGACAAGGTGGAGGCTCCCACGCGCCCCCTCCCCTGCCAGACTTGCAGAGGCCGACTGGCCGTGCCTGCGCGTGCAGGGCTTGCGCCTCCCCCACGCAGATGCCCCTCCCGGGAGCCTGTCCAGGCCGCCAGGGCGGCGCCTCCTCTGGAAAGGGCCTCCCTGGGAGGCTGAAAGTCGGAGCACAGCCGTTCTCCGAGGCGGGGCCCAGAGCGCTGGTCCCGGCAAGGGCTGGAGGCGAGTCCGTCCACAGCCGTGCTGGGTCCCTCAGCCATGCACCAAACAGGGGCCTTTCCTGCCTCTCCCCTGGCTCCCCCCGAGCTCCGCCGCCCTGGCGCACCGAGCCAAGCCCGCGCCATCTGCAGAGAACACTGTGTGGTCACGCTGTGTGTGACCCAGCTGGGCTGAGAGGATGCCGCCGGCCCATCAGCGCCGCCCGCCCATCAGCCCTGCAGGCAGGTCTGCGTGCTCTTCCCCGCACCGCCGTGGCCTCGGAGCAACCTCACGCTCCCCAGACTCGAGTCCCCCAACACCCTGGAGGGACATCACCCGGCGGCCGTGGCCTGCAGATTGTGCCTGCACCAAGCCCTGGTCACGTGCTCAGAAGGGCGAGCAGTTCTGTGAAACAGCGAGGCCAACTGGCTCAGTGCCAGGGGCTGCTCCGGTGTGACCCCGGCAGCCAGGGCACCCCGCCCGGACCCCTGGGAGCTGCTGTCCTGAAGCAGCGGGCAGCTGTCCTGGTGGGGTGGACGCTGGGACCTGCCTTCCACACCATCTGCCTCAGCCGGGCCCTGCGCCTAGTGGCTCTGGGAACAGCCCAGTGGCTCCTGCGCAATGTCCGCGGCTCAGCAAGCGCTCGGCGACTGCAGAGAGGAACGGTTTTGAAATCTGTCTCTCAGCACGGACCCCGCACTGGCCAGTGGCCTCTGGAACTCACTGCCCAGCTCCCTCACCCTCCTGACATTAGTGCAGAGGGAGAGGGCCCCGGGTCGGAGCTGGAGCGTCCGCGCTCGGGGGCCTGGCCCAGGACTGCCTGGCTCTCACAGGCCACTCTCTCTTCACAGGGCTTTCAAGGCAAGACCGGCCCTCCAGGGCCCCCCGGCGTGGTCGGCCCTCAGGTGAGACAGCCCCTGCTCACGGCACCTGTGCCACCACCCACATGGCAGAGAGGAGCCTGGAAGGGCAGATCCCTAGGATCTGAGGGTGTGGGCACCACCATGGTGCCCAAGGTCACACGAAGCTCATGGACATTTGGGAGTTTCCTTCATTCGGGAAAAAGGAGAGACCGCCTGGGCTCACGAGGGCCAGACCAGGGTGGCCCCGGTGATGGCCGTGTCATGGGAAACCTGGCCCTGACGTGGTGCCGACCCTAAGCTGCCGTGGGGTCTGGAAACGTGGCCTCTGTCCGCCCGGCTCTGTGCCGCGGGCCCGGCCCTTGCGTCCCCCATCACATCCATCCGCTCGCCACAGGGGAAGCACTGGGCAGGCAGGGACTGAGCAGTGGCCACACCCAGCTCACTCCAATCTTGTGCTTTCTGGATGTTTCCAAAAGGAGAGGACTCACAGAGGAGCGTGGAGGTTTGGGGGGCAAGCGAGGGCCTCTGCCTGTGGCCAGGGCTGTCCCTAGGTGGAGGCCAGGGTCACTGGCTCCCGAGTGACACTGATTTTCCCGTAGGGCCCCACGGGGGAAACTGGCCCAATGGGCGAGCGTGGCCACCCAGGGCCTCCGGGGCCCCCCGGTGAGCAGGGGCTCCCGGGCGCTGCTGGAAAGGAAGGGACGAAGGTGAGTGGCCAGCCTCCAGGCGGGTCGGCTTCCTAGGGGTCATGCCGGCAGGGGCTGTGCTCCTTTGGCCTTCTGATGGCGGGCCCAGGGCCCACCCGCTCCCCAGCCGCACGCCTCACCCCACTTTCGCCCAGTGTGAGGGGGACCTAAGCTGACCTGCTGGGGGGTCAATGGGGGCGGGGTCAAACCGCCCTTGACTTTCTGCTTGGGGCTGTGACCTGCTGACCCCAGCTGCCCAGGAAATAGATGTTGCACCCGTCCACATGGACTGAGCAGAAGGCGCCTCTTGGAGCGGCCCCGCCCCCCCCCTGGCTGCGCCCCTTTGTTTGTGGGAGGCCTGGCTCACCAGGCGGGGGCTGGGACTGGTGGGAATTCCCACGGAATCTCGTTCCGCCGTAGGCGAGAAACACAGGCTCTCAGCCTTTGAAGGGCCACGCACGAGAGCAGCCTGATAGAGGCAAACGCCACAAAGGGCACCCGTGGGGCCCCCTGCCTCGCCAGGTGGTAACACGCGTGTGTGGCTGAGGCCCAGACACCCAGCCCACCCCAGCCGACACCCCAGACACCCAGATGCTCCCGCCGGCGCCCCAGCCCCTGCTCGGGCCTCGCTGAGGAGCTCCCTGGGTCTGGTGCTGGACCCAGACAGCCTGAGCTGGTTCTGATTTCAGGGTGACCCAGGCCCCGCCGGCATCCCGGGGAAAGACGGTCCTCCCGGGCTACGCGGCTTCCCTGGGGATCGCGGGCTCCCGGGCCCAGTGGTGAGTGGGGCCAGCGGGGAGGCCCGGGCAAGGCCCAGCAAGGCCCAGTGCCCCCTCACGCTGCCCCTCACTGCATTCTTGTTGCCTTGCAGGGAGCACTTGGACTGAAGGGCAGCGAGGGCCCCCCTGGCCCACCAGGCCCCGCGGTGAGTGGTGCAGGCCCCGGGGACCCTAGTCCCATCGCCCCCAGAGCCCTCCTAGGGCCCGTGGGTGTGTGGAGGTTGTGGTGGAGGTGGCCGTGTGAGGGGTGTGGGCAGCGGGTCCCACTGGCCACCCACTGGTAACAGGGCAGGCCTGTGAGGGATGTGGGGTTGGGGGGCGGTCTGTGCTGGGAGCACTGGGCCCTGCCACTCCGAGCTCAAACTTACATCCAGGCCGCCCGGGCCCATGGGCTGCATGGTGGTGGCTGTCCCCTGTGGGGTGGCCTGTGGGTCTCACCTGCTGTCCACTAAATGAAGTGACCCCTCCCGATGGGAACATTCCGGCCGAGAGAGGCCTGAAGCCTCGGCACTGGGGCCGGGAGCCGCAGGAGGCTGGCGCGTGTCGCCCGCAGGGCAGGGCAGGGCAGGGCAGGCCACGAGCCCGCAGAGGACAGCGCTCTCTGGGCAGGGCACCCCAGGGGCAAGGGCGAGGCCTCAGGAGGCTGCCCAGACGAGCCCCTGAGAGGCTTCCTCCGGGTGCTCGGGGGCACGGAGGTGTGCTTGGGATTACGGGAGTGGGAAATCTAGAGGACCCGACACGGCCCCCAGAGGCCAGACCCATCGCTTCTGCTGAGGAAGGCCCTGGGGAGCCACATCCCAGCCTCTGACCTTTTCTCGCCCCGCCCAGGGCTCTCCGGGGGAGAGAGGCCCGGCTGGTGCCGCTGGGCCCATCGGAATTCCAGGGAGACCCGGACCCCAGGGACCCCCAGGGCCGGCCGGGGAGAAAGGAGCACCTGTGAGTACGGCTGGAGGCGCTGGGTCCCGTGTCTGCCCAGCTGGCCCTGCCCCTCTGCTGGCCAGGGAGTGGCAGCAAGGCCAGCCTGTCCCTCTGCCATGTTCCACGTGTGCGGGCGGGTCAGGGGCCCTGGAGACGTGGCTGTGGACTTGATCTGGGCCAGACTTGGGGTGCCACGGTGGACGGCCACAGGAGAGGGACGCACCTCCTCCTGCCCACCCGCTCGCTCCCCTCCTCGGTTCCCGCCCCTCAGGTCCTTCCCGCCTCCCCCGGCCCCTTGACGTGGCTGCTCCCACAGGCAGCGGTTTGACCTGGTCCTCTCTCTCCTGCAGGGCGAGAAGGGCCCCCAGGGCCCAGCTGGCCGTGATGGCCTGCAGGGACCCGTGGGGCTCCCGGGTCCAGCCGGCCCCGTGGGTCCCCCTGGAGAAGACGGAGACAAGGTGAGAGGGCGGAGCGCGGCTGGCAGGTGGGCAGGTGGGACAGCAGGGACAGCAGCCCTGCCCACCTGCGCCTGGCTGTGGGGTCCCAGCCGCTGGCTGAGCATCCCCGCCTGCTCGGGACACTGCGCCTGCCCGTGAGGCTCTGGTGCTGCTCCCCGAGTTGCCCTAAGAGGCTTTGCGCGTGGCCTCGCGCTTGGGTGCCCTTCCCCCAGAGGGGCACTGACTCCAGCTGCCGCCCGGGACTTCAGCAAGGGAGATGGCGCAGCCGCGCCTCACGAGCTCTCGCGGTGATCGTGCGACACGTCCCACTGTCACCTGGTGACTGTCACCTCGTGGCCTGCGGAGCCCGACCCCCGGCCTCAGAGCACAGGGCTGGGCTGTCGCTCTGGCGTCAGGGCGTCCAGTCTGTCACGTGACATTTCCACTGTGGTCCTTACCACGTGATCGGTGCCGAGGCCCGTCTCGCGTCACGGGCTGTCTCGTAGGCCGGTGTCGGCGGCACCCGGCGGCAGATGGGATGGCCTTCTTGGAGGGCTGGCCGGGGCGGGACTGATGGCCCCCACCTTCCGCAGGGAGAGATCGGGGAGCCTGGACAGAAGGGCAGCAAAGGGGACAAAGGCGAACAGGTGAGCGGGGTGGCGGGGGAGGGCGGGGGCACTGCCACGGGCCGTCCCAGGAGTCACGGGACCTCGGGCTCTCCCTCCTGTGTGCGTGTGACCGTGTGTGTGTGTGTGTGTGTGTGTGTGTGTGTGTGTCTGCCCACATGTGGCTCCGTGGTGGTCACACGTGGGCAGGCGCCGTCACAGGTATGTCCAGTCAGGCAGGCACTCTGGTCCCCGAGGCCTGGTCCGCAGACACCAGGCTTCCGGCGCAGAAGGCAGACGGTGACAGGCGCGGCTCAGCCAGAGTTTCCCTCTCTTAAAGACACACCTGCTCTCGCGAGCGCCCTGTCCCCCGTCTCTGCACATCAGGCCCTCCTGGGGCTCCGGGTCCCACGTTCCTCCCGTCTGCCCCCCGTACTCCCGTGCCCTCCCACCCCCCATGCTGTCCCCCTGTGGGAGCCCAGCCAGGACCAACTACCTGACCTTGAGCCTGTTTTACCAGTAGGGCCCCTCGGCCCGCGTCAAGGTTTTGGGGGGCTAGGAGGATGCCGGGGGCCAGTGACCCAGCCTGCAGTGCACCCACAGGATGCCAGGGCGCAGGGTCCGTGGAGGCACACGAGGGCAGAGGGGGCGCGTGCGTGTCTGCCCCGCTGGCCTCACTGTGACTCGGGACGCGGCGTTTGTGTCTCCCACAGGGTCCGCCCGGGCCCACAGGGCCGCAGGGCCCCATTGGACAGCCCGGCCCCTCTGTGAGTACCTGCGGTTCACGGCCCTCAGCGAGGCCTGGTCCCCGAGCTGGGGGGTTCCTCTGGGGGTTCCAGTCAGGGGCCCGCACCCACCTCATGTCTCCTGCAGGGAGCGGACGGGGAGCCGGGCCCTCGGGGCCAGCAGGGCCTTTTTGGGCAGAAAGGGGATGAAGGCTCCAGAGGCTTCCCTGGGCCCCCTGGGCCTGTGGGGCTGCAGGTAAGGATGGGCGGGTGGGTGGCATCGATGGGGTGAGCCTCCTGTGCTCCCCACGTCTCCCCTCCCTCCCGCCTTTCTGAGACGGAGGCGTGAAGGCCAGGCCCCAGGGCCTCCAGGGGACCCCCCAGCCTGGCCTCGCTGCACATCACCCTGACCGGTGGTGCAGACCCCCGCTTGTCAGAAATGCTGGGGAAACCTGATTACTCAGGAGAAAACAAATCAGAGGGGCCCTCCGTGCCCCCCAGCGCCCGCCTCAGCTGTGCATTTCCACACCCCGCCTTCACGCCCATGTGCCATGTTATTTTTTGCAAAGTCGGGATCACACCGCCCTGCGGGGTGCGACCAGCTCCCCTCCTCCTCCCACACCCCGACTCTGTGACATGCCCTCCTTTCCCTCGTCGCTGTGGGAAGCATGACGTCCCTTCCGGGGCCTCACCAGATGCTGGCTGCCCGGCCCATGTGGGGGACGCAGGGGCACTGCCCTCCTCTGCGCAAGCCTGGTCACCCCATGGGCTGAGTCTGGGTGCGTGGGGGGTGGCCTCGCCCTCGTGTGCCCAGGCAGCGGTGCCAGCCCTGGGTGCCCTGCCGGGGCATGGGCGGAGACGGTGGGCAGCGTGTACCCATGATCTTCTCCGCTTCCCTCCCCACAGGGCCTGCCGGGCCCCCCAGGCGAGAAGGGGGAGACGGGGGACGTGGGCCAGATGGTAAGTGTGCCCGGGGAGCCGGGCTGGCGGTGGTAGCTGCTGCTCTGTGCTCATGCTCTCCATCTTGTAGGGCCCCCCCGGCCCCCCTGGCCCCCGAGGACCCTCGGGCTCTCCAGGTGCTGACGGGCCTCAAGGCCCCCCGGTGGCATAGGCAATCCTGGTGCTGTGGGAGAGAAGGTGAGGCCCCTGTGCTCCAGGGCGAGGGTGCGTGCGAGGGGCCCCAGGGTGTCCATCTGTCCAGCTGCGTCCATGGAGCCTGTGGGGTGGGGCGGGGCTGCCGTCTGGGTGTGCACTGAGGGGAGACCCTGCGGGGGTGCCCTGACCCCTGCCGCCTGCACCCCTGTGATGCACCCTGGTGCCTCAGGATGAAAGGAGGGACTGGGGTGTGCACCCCTCACTAGCATCCCCCACACGCCGTTTCTGGAACTTTCTTTATAACGTCAGTCCACTAACTTGAAAGAAATCTTCTGTCACTGTTCATGTTTCACGGCATGAAAATGAAAACACTCAGCCAAGGGCAGGCACTGGGGTGCTGCAGGGTCCCCCCTCGCTGGCCCCGCGTGACCTGCCCCAGCCCCTGTCCCTAACACCCAGGGGCTGCCCCAGCCCCCATCCCCACCACCCGCCAGGGCGCTCTCCCCCTGCATTGCCTCCCCATGCCCCCCACCAGCCTCGCCTGGAGCCCCCAGGGACACCAAACACCTCATGTGTCCATTGCTGCCCTGAGTGGTCAGAGGCGGTGGCTCCATACCCGGGCCTGAGGTCAAGGAGGATGCACTAGTGCTGGCGCGGCCACGTGTCCCCTGACGTGACCACCTGTCTCCTCCTCAGGGAGAGCCTGGCGAAGCTGGAGACCCTGGCCTTCCCGGAGAAGGGGGCCCCCCGGTGAGTGCGGCGTGGGGGCTGTGCAAGTGAGGATGCTGGGCTGGAGGCCCCCGCTCGGCCTCGCTCTCCCTCCCTGGAAATGGGAGTCAGGACCCTGTGCCCATGTCACTCGAGGAAGGGCCGTGGCAGGGGTGTGTGTGTGTGCGCGCAGATGTGTGCGTGTGTGCAGATGTGTGAGTGCCCATCGTGGCCGAAGGGTGCTCCTCTGTCGGGTTGTGGGCTCTGCCCAGGCCACTGTCCAGGGGGCTGGTCAGCAGGAGAGCAGCCTTGGTGGGCACACCACAGGCCCCGGGTACTTGGGGCCAGGAGGCTGCTCCCTGCCCGAGGGCCACAGCGGGCGGCTGGGTGAAGGCCCCTCATCCAGTCACTCGCCTGAGGAGGGCAGCACGCCCTGCATGTGAGGGCCAGCCTCGGAGGCTGGCTCTGAGGACGCAGCCTGTGCCCTCCAGGGACCCAAAGGAGAGAGGGGAGAGAAGGGCGAGTCGGGACCTTCGGGTGCTGCTGGACCCCCTGGACCCAAAGGCCCTCCCGGAGACGACGGGCCCAAAGGCAGCCCCGTGAGTAGCCTGAGGTGTCATGCTGGGCGCACGGCTGCGCCGCGGGGGGTGGGGGGGCACCTGAGGGGGCCGTGTGCGGGGTGGGGTCTGGAGAGGCTCCCGGGCAGCACCTCCTAGAAGCTCCGGGTCTGGCCTCAGCTCCAGCTGCAGAGGACAGGGCTGGCCCCAGCCGCTGCCCCCGGCTGGCTGTGCGGCCTGAAGGACGCCCCGGCTGCAGGGCACACCGTGGCATGGGGTGGTCAGAACGTTCTGGAAGGTGGAAGGAAGCCGCGCGGCAGCGCCGGGGTGTGCAGGCTCAGGCGTGCCTCTTCTTTCAGGGCCCGGTCGGTTTCCCTGGAGATCCCGGCCCCCCGGAGAACCCGGCCCCGCGGTAGGTGCCAGGCCCTCGCCCCACCTGTCCCTGCCAGCCTGTCTGGCTCCGCTGTCCTTTGTGTGGATCCTCCCTGGGTGCCGTGGGGTCCCGGTAGCCCCGAGCTGAGATCAGATGGAGAAAGGCTTTGAGGGCGCCTCCCACTGGCTGGGTCTTGATTTTGGCAAGGGGCTGGGGACGGACACACTGGGCACCTGTCATCTTGGGGTGCCATCCGGTGGCAGAAGGACCCCGCTTTTGTCCCCACAGGGTCAAGATGGTCCCCCTGGTGACAAAGGAGATGATGGTGAAGCCGGGCAAACGGTGAGTCCCCTGACCTCTGGGGGTCCTGACACAGCAGAGCGGGAGCGCTCCCTGGGGGCTGCTGGAAGCCAGTGCTCCTCCGGGAGGAGGGGTGCCCCGAGCCCCGGGGTGTCCGCGGCCCCCAGGCCATGGGGTTCCCTGTGTTCCTGCCTGACCAGCTCATGCTGCCTCGGCTCTTCCCCCGGAGGCCCCTTCGCAGCAGACCTGGCCTTACCCTTGACCTTGGGATTAGGGCATGCTACTTCAAGTCAAGAGGGCACTCTGGGGTGGACCGGGCCAGGGTGGGACTGCCTGTGGGGATGACCCTTGCGTCCTCGCGTCCCTGCCTGACCTGTCCTGCCCCAACCCTGCAGAGGCTGCCGGCTGCGGGCTCTGGCCCAGGCGTGGCCGGCTTCCCTGCTTTGGTGAGCAGAGAAGGCTCAGGGACGCCGGCTCGGGGGCACCGGCTCTGGCCAGGCCCCCGGGGAGCTGTCAGGCCCATCACCTGGACTGCATGTGCCCTCCGGGCCCGGGGTCCACCCCTGGGGGCGTGCAGGCCACAGGCTGAGCCGGTGTCGAGTGGCAGGTTGTGGAGACTGGCAGGGCGTTCCCTCCACCTGGGGCAAGCGTTCTCGAGTGTGGGGGCCTAGGCAGGTGCCACTGCCCTCCCCAGAGGCCTTCCCGCCAGCTCCACCAGGGGCGCATCAGGGCTGGCGGGGATGGATGGAAACAGGCCCACGGGCCGACCTGCCAGCCCTGACACCGGCCCCCCTTCTTTCTCCCACTCCAGGGGTCCCCGGGCCCGACCGGTGAGCCGGGTCCCTCTGGGCCTCCAGGAAAAAGGGTGAGTTGTCCTGCCGGCTTTCTGCCTGGCTTCAGCCTCACGCCCTTTCTGTGGCGCCTGCTCTGCCCCCTCCCTCACGGGGGACCCCCGGGCTCGCAGCCACTTCCGTGTTTGAAGCCCATCCTCCGCGTCGTCACATGTCACATGGCAGCCCTGCGGGTCCACTTGGGGGAGCGGCTGTCGAAAGGCTCTCGTGGGGAGAACACGGGCCAGAGATCCTTTCCCCTGGGCCCCCTTCTGGCCAGCCAGCCAGACTCGGGGGGTTCTTGGCACGGAATGACAGCGCTCTGTTGCTCCCCAGTAAGCGGGCTGCTTGGTAGGCAGCCCAGGAAAGGGGCCTTGGGCATCTCCAGGGGTCCAGAATGGCGGGGATGCCTCGCTGGCCGCGCCCCCCCCCGCCCACCCATCTCCCCCAGCTGCACCAACTCACCCTATTCTCTCGTCTGTCGCAGGGTCCCCCCGGCCCCGCAGGCCCTGAAGGCAGACAGGGGGAGAAAGGCGCCAAGGTAGGGCCCTGGCCTGCGTGGCTCTCCCAGTGCAGAGCGGCGTGGTGAGCGCTGGGCGGGAAGGGTGGGCACAGGGAAGCCAGCAGGCGGAGGGCAGCCTCTAGCCTGGACCTGGGCACTGTCCCCGGAAGGCAGGCAGCGTGGCCTGGCCCTCGGGCACCAGGGCCCCTGGTTCAGTGCCACCGTCCGCCGGCCTGAGGGCCTGGTGTTGGACCTGGCCACCCCTTGGCTGCCCCACCTGGGGAGTGGGGAGAAGGGGCACAGAGGAGAAGGGACACTGGGGGAGCAGCTGGCACCTGGGCGTTCTCCCGGGGTTGATGGGGGAGCCCGGCGGCGCCAGGCGCCTCTGCCCGCTCAGGTGGGGCTGGCCGGGCCCCCTGCACCATGTGCCTGTGCTGCCTGTGACCCGCCTGGTGGTGGAATCGTGGCTCCTGGGAGTCTAGTGGCCGCGGCCGTGAGCAGGATGGAGAACTGGTGGGCAGTTTCCCTAAGGACAGTGGGAGCATTCTGGGCAGACCCCAGATATCTGGGGGCATCTGGGGCTTCTGAGCAGTGGTCCTGGGCCAGGGTGACTGGACCCCGCTCTGTCCTCCCGCAGGGAGAAGCTGGCTTGGAAGGCCCTCCTGGGAAGACTGGCCCCATCGGCCCCCAGGGGGCCCCTGGCAAGCCGGGCCCCGATGGCCTGAGAGGCATCCCCGGCCCCGTGGTGAGTGGACCGGGAGGCCTGGGGGGCAGCTGAGGGGGGGACTGGGTGTGGGGCCGGGGCGGGCTGCAGTGGGGCTCACCCTGAGGGTCGACCATGTTTCAGGGTGAACAAGGCCTCCCGGGATCTCCAGGCCCCGATGGGCCCCCCGGCCCCCTGGTGAGTAATGTTCTCCCCAAGCTTCTCCTGGGGGCTAGGGAGGGTAGATATGGGGGTGAGAACTCTGATCCTGCTCCCCGCCACCCACAGGGCCCCCCAGGGCTCCCTGGCCTCAAAGGAGATTCTGGCCCCAAAGGAGAAAAGGTAAGATGGGCCTCGGGTGCCTCAGCTGTGGCTCGGGCCCTGCTCACGCCGGCTTCACGCCCAGCCGTACTCGGGGCGCCAGGGGCCGGGCGGGACGTGCCGGGCCTCGGGAGCCCTCCCGCCTGTGGCTCGGGCCTGTCCTGTCTGGCTGCTGCCGGGGCGTGGGTGCGCTGCCCGCCGTGGCCCGGTGGCTGCCGTGAGGACCCACACGCGCCTCCGCGCACTTCCTGTCCCACAGGGCCACCCCGGCTTGATCGGACTCATCGGCCCCCAGGCGAACAGGGCGAAAAGGGCGACCGCGGGCTCCCCGGCCCCCAGGGCTCCTCCGGCCCCAAGGGAGAGCAGGTACGTGAGTCGGCCCCGCTCGGCCCCTCCCGGCGGGGGCCCTGGAGACCCCACACCCAAGAGCTGCCCGCACGGACCAGGACTCCCTGACTCTGAGCGGGCCCGGGCGCTGGTGGGGGCAGGCGGGCCTGTGCCCCCAGCTGGCCGAGACCCCAGGGGCTCGAGTGCGGCCCGTGTGCACAGCCCGTGTCGAGGCCGGCAGGACGGACGCGCGGCGGCATCCGCGCACTCGCCCCAGGGCTGTTCTGCGGGTCCCACCAACAGCGGAAAATGGCCAGAGGGGCCACGCCAGGCCTTTGCCTCTTAGTTCCAAGTCCGGGCCCTGGAAGGGGGTCTCCATGCGCATCCCCGGCGGGGGTGTGGGGTGGGGCGGCAGAGCTGGGGCGTGGGGAGGGACAGGGAGGAGAGTGAGGTGGTCGGACGCTGCCACCCACCCCTGCTTTCTGTCCCCGCAGGGCATCGCTGGTCCCTCGGGCCCCATCGGCCCCCCGGGCTTCCCAGGCTTGCCGGTGCGTATCTGCGGAGTTGGGTCAGGGCGTCCCGGCGGCGGGGGGTGCAGCTGGCCTGGGCCCAGCCCGCGGCTGCAGAGTCGGGCGGAGTCAAGGCGAGCGCCTCCAGGTGGACTCGCTGCCAGCTGGGCCTCGGGGTTCTCAGCCTCAGGGCTGAGAGTGGGGTCCCGGGTCCTGGTTTCCTGAGGGGGCAGGAGAGGCGGGGAGACGCCTCTCTGGGTACTGACATTTGACAGCAGGCATTTGGGGGGCACCCAGCTCCCAACCCTGGTTCCACACGAGCCAGGTCAGGCTGGCCCTAGCGAGAAGGGGACCCACGACACCAAAGACCCCCCAGCCTGAGTCCCTCGCCCTTCCCGGGTCTGCGGCCGCCGAGGTCCCGGAGAGACTTGTGGGAGCGGCTGGCCGAGGGTGTGGGTCAGAGGGGGTGCCGGGTGGGATCGCCCGTGGCTGATGCTCTGCCCTCTGCCCCCACAGGGTCCTCCTGGCCCCAAAGGTGCTAAGGGCTCCTCGGTAAGTGGTGTGGCCTGGGTGGCCTCCGGGATGACGCCCGCCCTGGCCCTTCCTCCCCTGCGCTGGCAGCTGCCCCCAGCCCCTGCCCGGGCCGTCTGGGACACGGCTCTGGGGTCTCTGCTCCTGCCTGGCCCCTGCCTTCCTGTCCCGTCTTGGGGCATCTGCCCGTGCGCCCCGCCTCTGCACAGAGGCCCGGACACTCTAGCCCCGGCGGGTTTCGGTCACCTCGCGCCGCGTGACCAGGGCTGTTCTTTGTCCCCAGGGTCCAACCGGCCCCAAGGGTGAGGCAGGCCACCCAGGACCCCCGGTCCCCCGGTAAGTGGGCTTGAAGACTGGCAAGTAGGGTGGGTCCTGCTGGCGCCAGGGGGCCCTGGGAAGCCTGATTGTGAAGGTGGCGTCCAGACCTTCCCAGCCTGGTGTCTCGGGGGGCGGGGCCTGTGCGGGGAGGCGGAGGGGGCGGGGGGGGGGGGTGTTAGCCTGCCCGCCTGTGGCTGCTGACCTTGTGCCCGCAAGGTCGGTTTGTGGCAGGGAGCAGGCACAGCTGGGGTGGGTGGTCTGTGTGTACTCGTGTGTGCATGAGTTTGTGTGTACACGTGTGCATGTGTGTACTCACATGCGTGTGTCTTGTTGCAGTGTGGGGTGTATTGCACGTGTGCTCGTGTGTGTGTGCAGTGTGTGTGTCTGGGGGCTCGCCCTGCGGTGCAGGTGGAGCTGGGGCGCCTTGCGGCCAGCCCCTCCCCTCCGTGCTGCCCTTGGCTGGCACCTCCTGACACAACGTCCGTGGCTTTGCCGCGGCCCCACTGTGTGCAGCCCCGGGCTCGGCTGCAGAGGTGCAGAGAGGTGACATCGGGCCCACCAGAGGCTGGGAGGCGGGAGGGCCGGGGCGGGCACCACGACAGCTGGTCCTGAGGCTGGTGCCCCGGGCCTGGCGGTGGCCAAGCGTGGAAGGCCCAGAGGCGGGAAAGAGAAGAACCCGTGCTGGGTGGACGGGCGTCGCCAGCCCAGGAAGCTGGGCCCGGGAGACTCGGCCGGGCTGCAGAGCTGCGTCTGCCCTGTCGCCCATCCCTCCTCCGCACCGCCTCCTCTCTGCAGGGCCCCCCGGGCGAGGTCATCCAGCCCCTGCCGATCCAGGCGTCCCGGACGCGGCGGAACATTGACGCCAGCCAGCTGCTGGACGAGGCGGAGAGCGAGAGCTACGTGGACTACGCGGACGGCATGGAGGAGGTGTTCGGCTCGCTCAACTCCCTGAAGCTAGAGATCGAGCAGATGAAGCGGCCGCTGGGCACCCAGCAGAACCCCGCCCGCACCTGCAAGGACCTGCAGCTCTGCCACCCCGACTTCCCAGACGGTGGGGGCCTGGGGCCCAGGGCGGGTGGAGGGGACAGCGTGGGGGCCCTGCGACAGGGCCCAGAATGGAGTCCCAGGACAGGGGAGGGGGCAGGTAGGCCAGCCTCACTGGGCCTCCGTGCTCGGTCTGCACAGGGGCCACGGGCCTCTCCCCCTCTAAGCCGAGAGGGCTTTGGCGTGGGAGGTGACGTGGTGCTGGCAGATCAGGGTGAGGTCAAGGCTTTGAGGTTGCTCAGAGGTGGGTCTGGTCTGGACCCAGCTGCCACCTGGCCAGTAGCTGCTTTCCCCTGAGCCCGATCCCCATCTTGAAGGGTGTGAGGCCCCAGCCCCGAGCCGGGAGGGCAGAGAGGGTGAGCCCTCAGGCAAGCCCGGGAGGCGCTGCCCGCTGGGGCCCAGCGCCCTGCTGGGGTTGGGGGGCCAGAAGCGCAGGCCTTGGCTCGACATCACTGAGACACAGACTCTGCCGTCCCGGTTAGGGGCGCTGCCCCTACGGGGTTGAAGCCACCGGCCTTCCCGGTTCCCCAGGGGAGCGTGAAGGCCTCCCCTGTGGGAGGGGGGTCACCGTGGCTCTGGCCATTGCCCCCCACCCCGTGCATGGACGTCCAGGCTTCATTGGGCCTGGCTGCCCTCTGGTGGCCCTTCCCTCGCATGCCCTCGGCTGGACAGGGTGTCCGGGCAGTCCCACTAACCGGTCCCCCATCTCGGCGGTGCAGGTGAATACTGGGTCGACCCCAACCAAGGCTGCTCCGGGGACTCCTTCAAAGTCTACTGCAACTTCACGGGCGGCGGGGCCACCTGCGTCTTCCCCGACAAGAAGTCGGAGGGGGTGAGTCCGCACCCCTCACGGCCGGGGCCCTCTCACAGGCCGGCCAGCGCTGGCGTTGCCCGGGGAGAATGAAAACCAGAGGCTGCTCAGCTTCAAAGCTGAGGGCTCTCCCCCAGAGACCGACCTTAAGAAGATGTTCCCAGCGGGCATCTCCGCCCTGCCTGCCCAGGTCCTCCCTACGTGACCGGGGTCCCGCCCAGGCCACCTGAGGCCCTTTGGTGAGATTGGGGGCAGCAGAGAGGACGGCGCCCCGGCCCCAGGCGGCTTTCCTGCGTCTCCATAGCCGCCCCCTCCCGAGGCCCTCCCGAGTCTCCCCGCAAAGGCCTGCTCCATAAAGCTGTCCGTGCAGGGCTATGCTGAGGGAGGGTCTCGTTCATCGAGACTGGCCCGGGACACTGCCATAGACGCTGCTGGCTGTGCTCGTTGAAGCGCTCGCTGCCGTGGTGACTGTGTGGACGGCGTGTGCAGCGGGTGTGGACAGTGTGTGCGGCGGGGGTGTAGGCAGCATGTGCAGGAGGTGTGGATGGCGTGTGCAGCGGGGTGTGGACAGCACGTGCGATGGGGTGTGACGGCACGTGACCGCGTGGTGGGCGTGCGTGGTGGGCATGTGCATGGAGGCCGGGCTGTACTGGCCCTGGACCCAGCAGGGGGACCAGGTCTAACTGGACCCTTTAGCCGGGGTCCACAGTCTCCGGCCCAGCAGGCCCCGTCCCGGCCCTCTGTGACATGCCATGATCCTCACCGGGGGCAGCGGGTCCCTGGGGCCTCGGTCCTGTCGCCCTGCAGGGCAGGCTCTGGTCCGGGTGCTGGAGCCTGGGGCTCGGGCCGCCATGGCCACTGCCCTCGGCAAACAGAGCCCTTCCCGGGCGGCCGAGGGGGTGGAGCCGCAAGTGCCCCTGACACCGAGCCCACCGCGGGCAGCAGAAGGTGGGCTGTGCCCCAGTGGGCTCTCGGGACCTAGCGCACAGTAAGGGGCTGTTGGGGCAGATGCCTGCCCCCTCCCGGGGACCCCTCATCTGCTTTCCCGGCTCGAGTCCGGCCCAGTCTCCTCAGCACTGCTGGGAGTGGGCCCTCCACTCGGACAGTCACCCCGGCTTCTGCGCTCGGAGCGGGGGACTCGCAGGCCCAGCGACAGGCACCCCGCTCACCCCCCGCTCGTCCCCCTCACCCCCACTCACTCCACAGCTTACTCTGAGCTAGGCCGTCCTGGGCCTGCAGCCTGGGCCCTGCAGAGAGCAGACGCCAAGGGGGTCCCCCTCCCAGGGGGCAGCAGCACCTTCGTTTGACGAGTCTGCTGCTGCGACACCCTAGGCTCTCCTGGTGCTCCCAGGGGGCACCCCCCGGGCCACTTGTCCCCAGGAGGGCACCCCACACACACACCCCCCCAGAGCAGTCAGGGTCAGGTGAGAGGACGCCCCCTCACCCCCTTCCCTGCTCCCCGCCACCCCCAGCGTCACCCTCAGCATCACCCAGACCCTCTGGGACCTGCCGGCCGCTCCAGCTGCGGTTCTTCACGGTGGTGGCGGCTTCTGCCCGAGGCTGACCTGTGCGGGCTGGGCCTCCGGAGCAGGGTTGGGGAGCGGGCGGGCGGGGCGCGCTGGCGTGGCGGCGTCCCTCCGGGGCAGGGTGGGGGAGCGGGCGGCGGGGCGAGCTGGCGGGACGGCGTCCGGGGCAGGGGCAGTAACCCTTGTCTCTGTTTCTCTCCCTCTCCCGCCTGCGCCGTGTCTAGGCCAGAATCACTTCCTGGCCCAAAGAGACCCCGGGCTCCTGGTTCAGTGAATTCAAGCGTGGTAAACTGGTAAGGCGCCCGGGGCCCCCGCGGCGCCCTCAGCCCGCCCGTTCCTATCTTGCAGAGTAAGATGGCCCGCTGGCCCAAAGAGCGGCCCTCCACCTGGTATAGCCAGTACAAGCGAGGGGCCCTGGTAAGTGGCGCGGCCCGCCGGCCGCGCGGCCGCTCAGCTCTGCATGACTAACGCCTGTCAGCGCCGGCCCCATTGCTCGGGCCGCGCCCAGCGCCCGCCCGCACCCACACCCGCCGGGCACTCCGGACGGCATCCAGGGCGCCTGGAGCCACAGCGGGCGCCAGGGCCTAGCAGGCGGTCAGGCGGACCGGAACCCAGGCCACTCGCCCTCCCGCCTCCTCCAGGACCCCAGTCTCCCCGCCCCGCAGGCTCACAGGGCCAAGGCCGCGGGGAGTGCCCAGGCCGGGTCCCGGCCTCTCCCACCGCGCTGGTCCTGCCACACCCATCCCAGAGGAGCTTGGTCTCCCCGGCGAGAGGGAAGTAGGGTGTCCCTGAGGCCGGTCAGCCCGAGAGCCTACGCCACAGCGCCAGTGTGGACTGCTGTCCCCAGCGTCCCCGGGCGAGGAGCCGCCCTGTGCGATCTTCCCAGATGGAGCAGGCTGGCCCCTGCGTGCGGCCCCAAACCCCGACTCCCCTCGTCAGCTCTACTTGTCCTCTGTGGCCCAGGGAGGGCCGTCCCTCCTGGCTGCACCGGCTCTGGGCTCGTGACCCCCGGTACCGGCCGCCGGTCCCCAGCCATGTGCCTGCCGCCCTGGCCCTGCCACACCCGAGGCCGAGCTTTACCTTGAGGCTTGGCAGCTGCGTTAACACCTCACGCCCTCCCTGCCCTCGACCCCAAGCACCCACTCTCCCAGCTTGCCGAAGGCTGCACCCACCTGGGCCCTGACTTTGGAGGCTGGACGTGGGCCCCTCGCCTCTGCCTCCTGCTGTCTGCCCTCGCCCTGGCCTCTTCCCGCTCCCTCCCGGAAAGCGCGCTGGCACACAGAAGGACCTGAGGGCCCCCTTGAGGGAGGGGCCTGGGCGGGTGCTCGGGCTGAGTGGACAGGCGTGGCCAGGAGGACAGTGGCCACAGGCCCGCCCCAAGCCTGTGCACCTCACTGAGAAAGGCTGGGAGACCCTCCAGCCGCCCCCTCCCACTGTCCTGTCTGGGTTGGCCGGCCTGGGTGGGGTGCTGTGGGGCAGGCGGCCTCTTGCCTCGGACGGACACTCCCACTCGTTGGGTCCTGCCCTTGATGAAGCGTGGAGGGACGGGGCGGGGGTGGCAGTCCCTCTGGAAGAAATAGGCTCTGCCCAGCAGACCACATGAAGATAGCCTCAGGGACCCTTCCTCTCGGGGACCAGGGTCTCCCCAGGGTTCTGGGTCCCCTACCCTTGCTCTGGACCCCCCGGGCCGGCCTCAGGTCCTTCTGTGTCCAGCGCCACCCGCTGGCCTCTCCCTGCGCATGCTTCCTTCCTCGAGTCAGTCACCTCCCTCCAGAGGAGCGCCCGACACAGCCGGTGGGTACCCCCTTCCTCCGCAGGAGCCGCCCGGTCCGCCCACCGGGCCGAGGCGCAGGACCCGCCCCCCCCGCCTGCAGCACCCAGAGCGGGCAGCGGCAATTCTTGTGCCAGCGCGGCTTTTGGGGACGGGCTGGGCAGGTAGAAGGCCGGTCTCAGGCCCTATGTCGGTCTGCTCCGTTTCCCGGACACACAGCGGTCCCCCAGGCCAATGGGTGTCTGACCGAGAGGAGAGGGCCTTTGGGGGCTGCCACATTGAGGGGTCAGCAAGAGGGTGTTTGCCAAGAGGTGCAGAACAACCTGAGCCCCTGGGTGCCCTGCATCAGCTGAAGGGCCTGGTGTGGACACTTGGTGAGCCCCGCCCCACTGCCCAGGGTTTGCTGTGGGACAGTAAGGGACCTTGCATTGAGGGCCCTGTCACAGCCAGGCCAGGCTGCCCCCGAAGCGGGCCAGGCCGAGCCCCAGGCCACAAGAAGGCCCCTCTGTCTCCTGGTTGCTCACCTGAGAAGTGGCAGGAACGGCCCAGCCGATGCTGACCAGGAGGGCATCGGTCACCCCAGCCCTCTGGCCCTTGGCAACACGGCCTGGCCCCTGGGAGGCTTCCTGCCTGGGGTGACCTCGCTGTCTCACAGGTCAGGTGGGCCTGCCCCACTGCTCAGCGGACAGTTTGTGTTTGTTAGCATAATCCAGCCCCCATGACAGGGATGTCCACGCAGGCCCTGCCACGGTGCTCACGGGGGCCTGAGACCAGGCTGCAGCAGGGGTGGGGCCGGCAGCCTGGGCTGGCAGGCAGGAGACTCTCAGCCAGGCCTGGGTAGATGAGGGCACTTTCCCGGTGGGCTTCCTGGAAGAGGAGGCATGTGAAATGAGCCCGCAGGATGAGAGGGGCAGCCAGGAAAGGACATGAGGACATGGCCAGAGGACATGAGGCCGGGGCCCCCAGGAGAGCGGCAGCTGCGAGGCTGCCCTCCCTGCAGGTGGGCCTCGGCATGCACAGGCTCCAGGGACCGGGCTCCACCCCCACGCTGAGCGCCCTGTCCCCACAGCTCTCCTACGTGGACGCCGAGGGCAGCCCCGTGGGCGTGGTGCAGATGACCTTCCTGCGGCTGCTCAGCGCCTCTGCCCAGCAGAACATCACCTACAACTGCTACCAGTCGGTGGCCTGGCAGGACGCCACCACGGGCGGCTATGACAAGGCCATCCGCTTCCTGGGCTCCAACGACGAGGAGATGTCCCACGACAACAGCCCCTACATCCGCGCCCTGGTGGACGGCTGCGCGGTGAGTTCCCCAGGTCCAGCCCAGCCCTCCACCGCCCCGCGGCCTCTGCCTGGAGTGCTGGGCTGGCTCAGCATGGGGACCCCGGCCTGGAGGAGGCCCGGCCCGGCCACCGCCAGCGTGTGGGGAGGGTGCGCCCTCCACGGTTGGGGCGGCCTGGTGGCTCTGCGGGGCGGACTGGTGCACAGGAGCCACAGGTGGTGCTACCCCGGGTGGGCAGCTGTGCCAATGGAGCCACAGAGAGCGGGCTCAGGCCCCCGGGTCAAAACCACCCGGCCCTGGTCTTCACTGTGCCCTGCCCCTGCCCGGGATCTGAGCCAGCCGCCCCAGCCACGCCCGGGTTCCACTGAGCTCAGGGAGCCTGGGCGAGGCTGCTGCCTGCACCCCTCTGGGGCCGCGAGGGCCACTCCGTGGACGCGGCAGTGCAGAGACTGGCCTCTGCGAGGTCAGAGGCCTGGGTCCCGGGATGTTTCCGGGAGCACCGGCCCGGTCATCCGGCGTCCAGGTCTATCCCGCACCTGCTCCCAGTAGCACCCAGTAGGTCGTGAGCAGCAAGCTCACCTCTGCCTCCTGCGTGCGGACGAGAGAGCCCGCCGCACGCTGGCCGGCCGAGAGGTCCGCTCGGCAAGGAGCCAGGAGGAAAATGTCTCGGGCTGTTTGGGCCCTTGGGCCCGAGCAGGAGCGGCCTGGGAGCCGCGAAGGGCATGAGCAGGGGGCCGGAGGAGCGGCCGGGCCTGGAGCCGGTGCCCGCGTCTGCCTTGGAGCTGCCGGCGTCCACGGCACAGGGAAGCACGCCCGTGGGCTGCTCACTCCCCGGGTGGGCTGGCCTTCCGGAGGCAAGGGGCAGTCCCTGGAAAACGTGCCTCATGAGGGGCCCTCGGAGGAGCCATCGCTCTGACGCGCCCTCCATGGGCTCGTGGGGGGAGGGCCAGGCTCTCCGCCTGCTTGTCTTCAAGCCCTTCCCCTACTCATTCCTTGCTGCCAGCCCCCAGCAGCGCTGCCCTCGGAGCCTGCCCACTGGCAGTGTCTTAAATCCACGGCGCAGAGGCACCAGGGGCCGCAGTTCCCACCAGTCACCCCCGGGTCTGCTCCCTTAAGTGGCCGGGACCTGGCCAGGCCAGAGCTTCTCGGCCTTTGGGGCCAGGTGGCTCTTCGTGATGAGCCAGTGGGGGAAGGAGGGGCATCCTGTGCCTCGCAGAGGGAGCCAGCACCCCTGGCCTGCACTCCTGAGGTGCCAGGAGCACCCGCAGCGGCCGTGAGAGAGCAGGGCGGGGTGAGCCTGCCAGGGCCTCCAGGAGAGGGGTGTCTTTGGAGCCTCCACGCAGGTCACTATGCTTGACCGAGGCGGCCAGGATGTGCACGTATGGGACCCTGAACCCCACAGCTGCTCTGGTGGGCTCCCTGGGGTGCGCCCCTGGACAGCTATGGGCGGTGGTCCCGGGCGAGCCCCTCTGCCGCCCCCTCCCCCAGCCCCCCGCCCGCCTGCCTCAGTGTCTCCAGCCAGCGTGAGTGGCCGTGGCTCCCGGAGCCCCCTCACCGGCGCCCTCTTCCGCTGCAGACCAAGAAGGGCTACCAGAAGACCGTCCTGGAGATCGACACCCCCCGGGTGGAGCAGGTCCCCATCGTGGACATCATGTTCAACGACTTCGGCGAGGCATCCCAGAAGTTCGGATTCGAAGTGGGGCCGGCTTGCTTCCTGGGCTAGGAGCCAGCCCCGGCCCCAGAGCAACCTCGTGACCTCAGCACGTCTGCGGGGGTCCTGGACAGTGAAGGCCCTCGCCCCTCCCCTGACCTCGTCTGCGCCCCGGCCCCAGGCCGTGCCGGACCCCAAACCCAGAGAGAGTGAAGGGAAGAGCCAGCGTGTGCCCCACCCCAGAGCCGAATCACATGACCTAGACCCCAGCGCCGCCTCCAGCCCGGTGGTCGACACCCCCCTCCTCGGGGCAGCCCCTCCGCACGCTGCCTGCCCGCTGCCCCCGGTGCTCAGGGAGAGGCCCGGCGGGCGGGCGCAGCATCGGAAACCACCTTGTTTTAATTTGACTTGAAGATGTGCGTCTCCCCGACCTTCACAACGCTCGAGGCCAGCCTCGTGAAGGTCACCGCCCGCCAGAGCCTCCGGGCTCAGCAGCCGTCACGGGCCGGACGCCCTCTGCACGGGCCTCTCGAAGGATCAAGGTGCTCTCGTTTCTGTGAGTGTTCAGTCGATACTCGTGTTGTGTTGTCCTACGTGTCCAGTCCACGCCTCTCAAGCGGGCAGGTGAGCCCAGCCTCGCCCCCGGGACGGTGGGGGACGGCGGGCGTCCGTTCCGGGATGCACCCCGACTCCGGTGAGAAATGCCCCCCCAAGAGCACGTGCTGACCTGGCCATTGCCCAGGGCAGCGAGAACTCCTGCCGCCTTCCAGAAAGCGGGCGCCCAGCAGCTCTGGATTTTGTTTCAGTGGGGAGGAAACAAAGAATTTCGTACCTTGCCTTTCTGCGTGCACTTGGATTCCAGCGCAGGGTTAAATTAATTTTAATTGCTTGCTTTTTCCCTTCTTCCTGCAGAGCCTGGTGGGAGGGCCCGGGCAGGGCAGCCACATTTTCCGTAGATGTTAATGAAAACCGGTGCTTCCCCGTCCCCTTCCCTTTTGTGGTGCTATCTGTTTTAAGATCTCCTTGAAGGCAGCCCTGGGGGTGCCCGGCCGTGCCTCATGCTCCCACCTTGCTCGAGCCTGGCTCTGCCCCCCAGATCCGAGTTTTGGCCAAGGACGCAGGGATAAGTGAGCGTCCCGAGGTCTGACACCAGGGGGACGCGGCACGGCTGCGCTTTGGAAACACACGTGCACACACGTGCACACATGCACGCATGCACGCACACACACTACAAAGGCCCATCCCGGCTGAGCGTGGCGTGAGGACGGCAGACCGTACCCTTTGCCGAACGTTTGTGGTGCTAATTCCTGTGTTTGTTCCGAGAACTGAGTGGAAGGTGCCGTGGGCCCCGCGCCGCGTGCCGGGCCCGCCATGACCTGGGCAGGCGGGGAATGTGCAATGTACTGTGAGTCCCCCCAGGCGGCCAGCGGGCCCCTCCCCCAGAGCCGTCGAGGCCCCGCCTGCGAACACCCTCGAGGCCAGAGAGGCCACCCTGTGGGCACGGACCGAGCTTACTGTGAAAAGCTGCTGTCGCCTGCCCGTGCCTTCCGCCCTGCACACCCTCGGGGCCGCCTGGCCCGGCCCGACGCGGCCCCGGGGACGGGAGCGCCCGCCAGCCTCTCCCGACCACCAACCACCATGCCTATCGAGTCTTGCTCTTGCCAGAGGAAGATCTGACTTGGAGAGTCTGGCGCCCGGGGCGGGGGAGCGCAGGCCCAGCGACTTCCGCGCCTCTCCCGGCCAGCGCCCCGCGTCTAGGTCATGTGATTCTGTTTGGACTTCTCGCCCACCCCGCCCGCCCGCCTGTTTTGCTATCGTTTTCTCCCTCCGGTTCCCTTCAAAGCTGTTTAATTTGCATCGAAGTCCAAAGTGTCCCTTCCCCCAACCACGTACCTACGGTGTATTGCAATAAAATTGCTTCTTATATTTGCAGAAGTTCTTTTGGCGTAATTTTATTTCTCCCTCCTAACACCTGTCTTGCACAAGCGTGGACACGCGAGAAAGGGAGCAGCCAGCGGGAAGAGGCCGGGGCGGGCTCGCGAGCGCGACGCCGGCGACACCAGCAGGCCCCGAAGCTGGCACGCGAGCTGGCACGCGAGCTGGCACCGCTGAGCTGCCCACGGAAGGCTGTTCCGGGAGATCTCAGATCCGCTGCCAGGAGCCGTCGCGGCGCTTCTCACTGGATCGCGCGCCCTGCTCCCCGCGAGCAGAGGCGACCGGCGTCTTCCTCGGCGTGGCCGTGTCTGCGTGTCGCCGAGGACCAGACCGCAGCAGCTGTCGGCGACGGTGGCTGGGAAGCCGGGCCCGGGGTCACTTGTGCTGTGTCCACAGCCTCGGGCGTCCAACAGCGTGGGGCCTCCCGTCCCCCTGGCGTCAGCGTCCCGGGCTGGCTGGACCCCGGCTCCCGGCCCCGTCCTCCCCCCAGGGCCTTTTACTCCCAGGCCCCAGGGGTGGGACGGACAGCGGGGCTGCCGGGCCTGATCGAGCGCCCCACGGGCCCCAGACGCAGTGTTGTCAGCGGCAGGCCAGGCTCCCTGGCTCCAGGAGGCCGGAGACGTGGCTCGGGAAGCCACGGTGGGCCGGGCGCCCCCTCCAGTGCCGAGGGGAGTGGAGAGAGCGGCGGGGAGGCGGGGACACAGGGCACACGGGGGCTGGTCTGGGTGGTCGGGAGGCCGGCGCCCTCCGCACTGCCCTGCAGATTGGACGGGCCCGGCCAGGACGGAAGAGCCGGCGGCCAGGGGTTACAGTGACGCTCACACCTCAGGGCAAGAACTCGGGGGCCCTGAGCTTCGGGGAAGGCGACATGGGCTCCTGGGCCCTGCATGGGGTCCCCTGAGCGAGGCCCTGCACACCCGCCCCACGCATCCTTCCCCAGAGCCCTCCCCAGGACTGGTTGAGCCTTCCCTTCCGCCGGGGCCAGGGGAGGGGCTGTTCTGCTGTCCTGGGGGGTCGGCACTTGGAGTTCGAGGGGCTTCCCAGCTCCCTCACCCCCTCACCATGTGCCTGGGCTCCCAGGGGCACCCAGACCTCCTCTGAGTCTGGCTGGAGGGGCTCGTATGCGGGATCCCCACCCAGGGACACCACGATGAAGCCAGCCAGCCATGCGGCTGTCCTGAGTGCCCTGGGACAGCGCCCAGGGAGCCCATAGCACGTGGCCAGGGAGGACGTCCCTTCCGCCCAGCCCTGCAGGCGAGGCCCCTGGAAGGAGGAGAGCGGCACCTGCACTGGCACTGGGCCCTGCCCTCTGCCTGCCCATCCGTGGCCAGCGCTGAGCCCTTACCTGGCTGCCTTGCCATCTGCAGAGACTCTAGAAGGGTCTGAGGTGGCAACCCCTTGCCTCTTGGTTTGTGAGTCTGGGGTCCCCTTCCTGGCACCTCCCCACGCTAGGGGCCCAAGGCGAGTCTTGACTTCTCAGAAGCAGGCCGAACCGCGGCGAACATGCGGGCTGGGCTTCCACGGGAGGCCCTGGCCTTCTCGCCGTCTGGAGGGCAGTGCTGGGCTGGCTGGCCCCGAGGCCCGCGTCGCCCTGGGTGTGTCTGCAGTGTCCCGGCTACAAACCTGCAGGCAGGCTGTCCCCTCGGCCGAGCTGCAGAGCGTGGCAGGCAGCCCTGGGAGCCAGAGCGAGCCGCGGCGCCCCACCCGACGGCCCCCTGCTTCATCATCACCTGCCCTGGGCACTGGACGTCCTGCCCCTCCCGGTCAGCTAACACCGCTCATTTCTGAGTCTGTGCCCGGGCCCCACCGGGACCCCACCCGCCCCAGGACAGAACCCTCTGATGCCAAAGGCGGAGCTCGCTACCCAGGGCGGGAGGGCCTTGCCCCTTCCACGTCCCCCCGAGAGTCGGCTGAGGTCAAGATGGGGGCCTGCCGGGGCCTCTGGGAGACCGGCCTCCTGCCGGGCCTGTCCATGTCGCTGGCGGGACACCCCTCCCCCGCCCCGGCACGTGTCCCTCCCCTTCCGGAGCAGCTGTGCCGGGCTGATCGCGCTTGTGAAATCGAATCTTGAGAAACTCCCTTGAGAAATCACTTCCGAGGGGCCACGTCATCATCCTGGAAGCCGAAAGTGAAACGGTGAACCCCAGGGCGCTTTCCAGAGGGCCGGCCGGGCGTCCCCAACACTGTGTGGAAGATGAGCCGAGGCCCCCCGAGGAAGCGGCTGGGAGCGGAGCCTGCGTACTCGAGAGCTGGGTCAAGAGCGAAAAAGTCATGTCGATGAACGTCTTATGGGACCATGACCGTGACGCCTGGAGACTCCTGCTTTTGCAGCTTGATCAAGCTGAAATCAAAAGCACTTAGAGGGGCCTCCCCGGGGGCACAGCGGTTGAGCGCTGGGTTGCGAAGCTGCCCGCAGCCTCTGCAGCGCTGGTTCGATCCCCGGCTGCTCCCCGGCCCCCGGAGGAGGGTCCCACATGGCGCGCAGACCTCTCCTGCCGCCCGCTGCTCCCCTCAGCAGTGTCCTTCGGTCCTTCTGCCTGCTCTGCTCCCCGCTCTGGCTCTGGTGGATTTTCTCGCCCGCCCGCGCTTCTGACTGTGCCCAGTGCTTGTGTAAATAAATAAATAAATAAATCTTAAAAAAAAAAAAAGCACTTAGAGACACGCAGGGAGGCTCTGGACAGCAGGCGTGGCCGCCCCGCGACGGTGAACATGCTGTTACTCGTGCTCGTGCGGGCACACGCGTGTGCACATGGGCTGGGGGGTGTGACCGGCTGGGCATCCCTGGGCTCCGAGGACCAGCTGGCCCTGGAGACACCTGGGAGCTGTGGGGCCTGCCCTGGCCCTGGCCAGAGCCCCCCAGGAGGGGGCTGAGATCACCTGTGGCTGTCCCCCCTTCCTGAACCTCTCTGGCCCTCCCGGCTCCTCCGGGGGCTCTGTCCATGCTGGGCCGGGCCCCCTCTCCTGGGTTCTGTCTCCACACTGTGCTCTCCGCCCCACCTCCCCAGCAACCCCCCCCCCCAAGGCCTGGCCCCAGGGCTGTTGGGTCGGGCCTGGACTTCCGTCCTGGGGTTCCTCAATCTGGGAGGCTTCCGGCCCTGGCACCTGGGCTGGGTCAGCTGTTCCACCCTGGGGTCAGGGCTGTGCCGTGTGGGCTGGCTCTGTGGTGCATGGACCCCATGGGAGCGGGGCCCTGCCCGTCCATGGTCTGTCCTCTTGCCTGGGATGTGGTCTGTGGGTCAGGGCGGCAATCAGGCCACTGCTCTCACCCTAAAGGCCGCTAGGACATCTGCTTCCCTCCCCGACCTAGGGAGCATCGCCCCACCCTCCAAATAAGCTGGCCTTTGGAGGCTGGACGGGCCCACCCTGCCACAGGCTTCCCGTTCTTGACCAGCCCACCAGCCCCAATGGCCTCTGGTGCCTCCCACCACAGGCTGCCTGTCCTCCTGGGATCCGTGCCTCAAGCGCAACTGACAAAAAGAGGCTTGAAGGGGACCCGCTGGATGACTTCAGTTGGGTCTAGTTGAACGTGGTGCTGACATGGATCTGTGTTAGGTTGCATTAATGAAGATATAGTGTGTAGAGCAAGGGAGGAGACAGCCATGCTCCTCTCTGCACACGTCAGAACATGCCTGTGCCTTGGGTTCTGAGTTTTGTGTTCTAAAGCCTCAGGTGGAGACTGCCTGGAGTGAGAACAGAGAAGAGATGGAAGGCAGGAGAGAAGGGGGCCTCACGGAGCGGCCCACAGGCAGAGACAGTTGGACTGGAGGCCGGGACCCCCAGCCTTGGGGGTGGGAAATGCCTAAACATTCCCAAACGGGGAGGGAAGGGAGTTTTCCCAAACCCTCAAGTCACAGTGACATGACACTTTCTCCAGAGTGAGCGGCTCAGCCTGGGGGTGCAGGGCCCCGTGTCCAGACTGGCTGCTCCAGAGATGAGGGGTGTGGGGGGCCTGGAGACAGTGACAAGCACGAAGGGCGGGTCTAGGGAGGGCAGGCACGGGAGGGTCTGGTTTCCCACAGGCCGGTGGCCTTGACCCTCAGCCCCGGCCCCATGGGCCACGCCTGGGCCACAGGCAAGGGCGGGTGGGAGGATGGTGGCCAGACCTTGCCTAGAAGGGAGGCCTGGGCAGAGCGGGCAGGGGAGGGAGTGGGACAGGCGTCCCCAGCCTCGGCCTAAAGCCTCCGGCTGTGAGCGGCTTCGCCGCCCACGATCTCTGCCTCTCCACATGATCGTCACCACGGCTGAGGACTCGGCCTAGGGCCATATGGGGCGGGGGTCAATGATCTGGTTCCTCGAGGTTGGAGGCCCCACCCGCCCACCCGGTACGTGGCAGAAGCCCCGGCCAGGAGCCACGAGAGCCAGGGGCCATCCGCAACGTCCATCTGTCCCAAAGCAGCAAATAGGACCCTCCGGGAGTCCGGCGCGGGCCACGAGAAGAGGGTGTCCAGGTTGTCGCCGGGGTGGCGGTGTAGGTCACCCAGCGCGCGAGCCGGAAACAGGCTGCGGCGGCCCCACGAGCTGCCGTGCGGACAGGCACCCGGGTGAGCCAGGCTCCCGGGCCGGAGACCCGTCCTGACCCTCCGGTCGCCTGGGCAGGGCCGCAGAGGCGCCCTCCTGGCTCCTCCGCAGGGCTCGTGCTCAGGGTGGCGGAGCCCACTGTGCCCCCAAGTCCAAAGTTGCTCCCCGATCTCCTCGGAAAGGGCTCTGGGGGCTGCTGACGGGCGTCAAGGACACACCGTCTCCAAAACAAACGGGACGGGAGAGGCCAGAGCACCCTCTGGGCCGGGCCCGCGGCTCTGGAACCAGCCCCAGCACCTGCAGGAGTTGCCGAGACCCAGGGCTCTGGCGGGCCCGGCTCCCAGGACCTCTGGCGGCCGCCTGCAGCTGGCACGACCCCTGGCCCCGCATGCCACGGCCCCGGAGCCTGACTGAGCTCGGGCCAGCACAGCCGCGGGGGCCCGCCCGGGCCCCAGAGCCCCACCCTGGGCGGGCCTGCGCCATGGGGGTCCCTGATGATGCTGGCGGAGAGTCGGGGTGTCAAGTGAGCAGGTGACTGGCCGGGAGCTGACTGCCCAGGCTGAGCCAGTCACTCGGGAGAGCGCATCGCTGTCACCGTGACTCCAGGGTTTCGGGGCACTCCCATCCCCCCTGCTTGGGAAACTTCAGGCATTCCCGGCCCGAGGCTGCCCGTCCCGACCTAGCCTGCAGTGTGTGGGGGGGCACCCTCGCCCCACCCTGCCGGTCAGGGGCGCACGGACACCTCTCCCTGGGGCAGAGCGCTATGACCCCGCCGGAGAGGCTGCCCCCCAGAACTGCTGACGGCGTGGGTGCAATTAAACGAGGGGTAGGGGCAGAGCGCCTGGACCGCGGGGGCCGCCCACCGGCCGCCAGGGCTGTGAGTGCAGGGCCTGCTGCCGGGCTCGGGGGAGACGCGGCCGGGGCGCTCATGAGCTTTGGGGTGGGAGTGGGACCCCAGACAAGGATGCCAGGGACTGCAGAGGCTGCAAAAGGCCGGAACACAGACGCTCCTCGGGGCTCCGGAGGACTGGCCCAGCGCACCGGGGCGTTCAGACGCTGGGGCGGCAGGAAGCCCACGCCGGTTGCTGTGACCCTCCCTGGGAGCAGCGGGTCTCCCGTTAACGTCCCTCTGCGAAGCCCCTCCCTGGCCCGAGCGCTGGGAGATGCCCGCCCTCTCCGGGGGGCTCCGCTCACGCCTTCGGGCCTGCACCCAGTCCCCGGAGTGGGGCTGGTGCTGTGAGGGGGGCCCAGGGCTGGGCTCCTCGGGAAGCCCCGGGACGGACACAGGAAGCAGCGCCCCTCACGGCCTCTCAGCGGGATGGGGGGGTCACCCGCTGGCCCAAAGCCTCCCGTGGCCATCACCGTGCCCAGAGACGGCTTCTGACGGCTGCCCCCGTGTCTGAGGATGGTCTGGGCCCGTGCCCAGCGGGCAGCGGTGGGAAGGGGCTGGCGGCTGTGGACAGTGCTGGCCTCCTTGGCCACTGCTGACTTTGTCTGCACCGGGCGCACCAACGCTCCTGATCTGCGCGGGTCAGGGCGCAAGGAACCACGGGAGCCAGCGCTCGAGAAAGCATCATCGTTCTTTCCTGTACCAGCGGCTGGTACAGGAGGGCCCAGGGTGGCCCAGGGGCGCGGGCGGGCTGGTGGAGGGCAGGGCGGGGCGCGGGGCGGCGCTAGGTGGGCCGCAGCTTCATCTCCGACACCTTGTAGCTGTACTTGTAGCCTCGGCCGGTGCTCCAGTTGATGCCGTCGGCGTAGCTCTTGTGGGCGCCGCCCAGGTAGCGGCCGTTGAGGTTGGCCGTGTGGCAGCCCGAGTACCACCAGGCCCCCTTGTACACCTCGGCGCAGTTGGAACCGATGTCGTCGTGGTCGCGGTCCTTGGTGGAGAAGGGCCGGTCCCTGTGCCACTCCATGGAGTCGCCTGCTCGGAGGGAAGTGGGTGCTGGCCATTCGGCCCCGAGCCGTGTCCAGCGCCGCCCACGCTCTGGCCGCGGAGAGCCATGGCCGTGGGGGTGGCCGGGCGGGGAGGGGGGACACGGCACCTGCTGGCGCAGACTCGGCCCCCGCCCCCCGCCAGCGCGGCCTCTCGCCACCGGGGTCAGCGACCTCCCCCTGGACCACTTCTCCCCTGTGGTGCCCTCCCAGATCCAGGCCTCTCCCCCACCCCACCCCACCCCACCCTGGGGCTTCTCTGCAGGTCCAGCTCAGCCCTCCGCCGGGCCACTCCTGCGGCCGCACCCAGCCGCCTGGCAGGAAGCTGCAACCCGGCTGCAATCCTGCCTGGGCAGCTGCCCTTCCGGGCCCTCCCTGGGCGGCAGAGGCGGGCAGAGGGCACAAAGGCCACACGCCCACGGCCCTGGCCCCGAGGGCCGGCTGGCTGCAGCTCTGCTCCCAGCTCAGGGCCCCCGTCCTGGCCCCTCCTGACGATGCGTGCTGGGGCTCCCCAGGGACGCCCAGACCCGTGGCCGGCAAGTCCTTGCTGCAGAGCTTGGCCACCAGAGCTCCGCTCCGGGGACCTGCCCCAGCAGGTGTCTGAGGGGGCGGGCGGCCGACCTGGGCCCCCACCAGCTGGGTGCCCGCGGCAGAGGCCGGACGTGCATCGGCGCTGACAGAAGCAGGACTGGCCGGGCCTGCCCGGGTCACCGGGAGACACAGCTGGCCACAGCTGGCCGAGCGCGTGCTCCGCTCCCCACCCCACCCCTGCGCCCACAGCCCGCACCTGCACTGCCCCCCAGGAAGGCCCCCAGGACCAGCTTGTACTGCTCAGCCTCGCTCAGCACCCGGAACGACCCGTAGCGGGCAAACTGGTGTTTGCCCTTGAAGTCCACCAGGTCCACCCGCAGCTCGCTGGCTCCTGTGGGAGGAAAGCCCCGCCGTTAACCCAGCCCTGACAGAGGGGGGCCAGCGGGCTCCTGGGGCACTGGCCCAGAGGGAGGGCATGACCTCTGCAGCCGGCGCCCGCCAGGCATCTGACACAGTGGGGGCGGGGAGGCAAAGGGGCCACCTTGGACCCAGAAGCCCAGCTATTAAATACGGGGCGGGGGCGGGCAGAGCGGCTCGGCCCCCCTCCCTCGGGGCCAGAGGCCAGCAGCTGCGGGAGGGGCCCTGGCCCAGGGGCCTCCCGCCATCCTGGGGTCCCAGGCCTCCTGCCGCAGGGTCTTCCTGTCGCCGGCCAGGGGCGGTCTCGGCCGCGGCGCCTACCCTGGGCGGTGAGGGCGTGGAGGTTGTCGTTGCCGAGCCAGAACTCCCCCAGCTGCGAGCCGAAGCCCCCCTTGTAGGCCGCCCAGTCCCGGTAGAAGTCCACGGAGCCGTCGCGCCGTCGCTGGAAGACCTGGAGGGTCGGCGGGCGGGAGGAGGGTGGGCCGAGCTCGGCCAGCCAGCCAGGGCCACGCGGGGCCGCCTGAGGCGGCCAAGACCCTCGCCCCGACCCAGGGCCAGCGTGGACCCGGCGGGCACGAGGAAACGCAGGCTCCGCGAGGGAGGGCAGTGGCCAGAGCCACTCGGCTGAGAGGGGCGGTTCACCCCAGGACCCCTGAGGGGCCCCGCCACGCGCCTGCCCTGGCGCTCCGGGCCTCAGGGAGGGGCGCCTGAGGCCGAGGGTTGGTTCTCAGCCATGGCGTCCCCCCTCAGGCCCCGCCGCCCCACCCAGCTCTGCACACTCACGGCCCAGCCCCCGCCGTCCGTGTCCATGTCGCACAGCACGGCCAGGGGCCGGCAGTCGGGCAGGTAGATGGTGTACCAGCCGCTCAGAGAGTGCCCCTTGGCACGCAGCTCCTTGCAGGAGCGAGGACCTGGGAAAGGGGCCGGAAGTGGACCTCAGGGCCGGCGCCCCGGGCAGTCTGGGGCGGAGGGGCGGGGAGCCAGGAGGGAGGGGGGGCCCCGGGTCTGGCCAGGCAAGCTGCCCCGGCCACCACTGTGAAGCCCTGCCCTGTCCACCTGCTGCTGCCACCCCAGGACCCACTCAGCCTCGGGCGCCGGCCTAGAGGACGTTGTGGTGTCCGAAAAGGCGCCGAGGGTGAGAGCGGCCGGGTCCCGGGTCTGGTGGCGAGTCACGGGGGCCTTCTGGGCCACCCTCCCGCGGCGGTCAGTCACCTGTGGCGCACGACGGAGCAAACCCAGGCGCTCCTGGGGGCCCAGGCGGTCCTGGGGGCCCAGGCGGTCCTGTGGGTGCGGACGGAGGACTCGCGTCACAACCCGGGCGCCGGCGCCCGCCCTCTCGGCAACGCGCAGACGGCCCCGGCGGCCTCCCCTGGCGGGGCGAGTGGCGGCCCCTGTGCCGGCCCATGGGGCTCTGCCTCTGCCGGCCCCCCGCGGCCCTGCTCGGGTGGGGCCCGCCTGGGCTTCCCTCGCGGACGGACCTGTCCTCGACCTCGCGAGCTCGGCCTCTTCTGATCGACGCGTCTTTAGAGCATCAATCAGGAAAAGTAAGTAAATTGGCCACGTTGACGCCACGGCCTGCCTGGCCAGCCCCGGGGTCACGGCCCAGGCCCGGCGTCCAGCCTGGGACCCGCCGGCTGAGAGGCTCCGCCCCTGCGGGACTCGCACACCAGTCGGGTTCCTCCCCTGGGCGGGGGTGGGCTGCCCGAGGCCCCGAGAGACCCCCCAAAGCCTGCAGGGTGCCCCCATCCCAGGAGGCCGGGCTCACCTCTCTCTCCAGGCGCACCATCCTCCCCTCGGCCCCCTGCGGGAGAGACAGCGGGTCAGGGGGCGTCCAGGTGGTCCCGGGGCAGCCAGGGCCCGCGCCCCGAGGGGCTGGTGGGAGGGTCCGGGTTCCCCTGGTGGAGCCTCAGGCCCAGGCACTGCTCCTTAGGGAAGGGCTTAGGTGCCAGGCTCTCCGGGAGGGGCCCCCCACCTTCCCCAGGTGAGGAGAGCCCCTGACCAGGGCGCAGACTCCGTGGGGTCAGGAACTCTGGAGACAAATCGGAAGCCCTGGCCGGTCCCTCATCCCCCATCTCCCTCCCGTCTCTAGCTCTGCGTGGCCTGTGCGGGACCCTGTCTCCACAGACCCAGGCTGGCTCGGCGGCCACGGGCTGTGCCAGGTGGTTACCTTTAGGCCCAGGGGGTCCTGCCATCCCTGGGGCGCCAGGGGAACCTCGTTCTCCTGCAAATTCCAAAGAATCCTGGTGGGAGGAGCAGCCCCACGCAGCCCCGCTCTGCCCGCGGCCCAGCCTGTCCCTCCCCGCGCCGCTCAGCGACCCCAGGAGTGCCGTCCCCGGGACCCGGCCTGGGGGGACAGCTGACGTGGCGCCAGGGGTGCAGACGGGTCAGGACCCCGAGCCCAGGCGGGCACAGCGGGGTCCCGGCTGACCCTCACAGGGCGGGCCAGGGTCCGTACCCGCGCGGGCTCAGCGAGAGCAGCCTCTGGGGGTCAGCCCCGGGCCCCGCGGGGGCCGGCCCTGGGCACGGCCTGTGCCGGATGGAGGAGCCTGGCGGGGCGCCCCCACGGCCTCCGTGCAGGTCTGACCCAGCTGCAGAGAGACACAGTGGCCGTGGCCTCCAGGCCCACCGGCCGTGGTCCGCAGGGCCAGCTCGGTCGTGCCAAGCCCAGAGAAGGCCTCCCTCCCTGACCTGGGCGGGGCTGTGAGGAGCCCCGGGGACAAGCCCGGGGGCTGTAGGGACCCCCGAGAAGAGCGGAGCTCAGCCGCCTGCCCGCACAGGCACCCACCTTGTGCTCCAGTGGCTCCCGCCTCTCCCTTGGGCCCTGCAGCTCCAGGGCAGCCCCGCAGAATGGCCAGCTTGTTGGTGCCCTCCACGCCCAGCACCTTCACCTCTGGGGAGACAGAGCCCGTGGGCACCAGGACGGGGCAGTGCTGCGGCCAGCAGCACCTCTCTCGGCTGAGGGCCGCTGGGAAGAGGCTGCCCCCGGGCATGGGGTGGGAGGTGGCCCGGGCTCCAGGGCCGCTCGTCCTGGGGGTCACTCAGCCCTCGGGGCGCCTGTGCCCTGGGGCGGGCGGGGCTGAGGGAGGGTTTGAGCAGGTCACGTAGACTTCCAGGTGCCCCGGGGGTCGGCCCTGGGGGTCTGGTTAGGGCCCCTCACCCGACTAGGGGCCAGGAGGTCCCTGGGCAGGGCACGCGCTGGCCCAGGCCACCGAGTGGCCGGCAGAAAGGAGCGGCCTGCCCTGCTTCTTGAAAAAATACTTTCCTTGTGCTGACCACAAACTGAGGTGACCTCAGCAGAGACAACTGAGAAAATTCAGGCCTCGTGGGCTCTCGGGGAGGCGCGGGCCGCGGGGCTGGTGTCCCCTCCGCCCAGCCCCGCAGGACCACCCAGGCCGCGGCCTCCCCTCGGGCTCACAGCTCCGGCTGCCCCTCCGAGCGCGCTGGCCCGGGTGGCCCGACCCGGCCCCCCCGCCTGCCCCCAGGCCCCTCGCTGTCTTCAGAGCCCTGTGCCTGCACCCGGCTCGCCGTGGCGCCGGACTCTGCACCGTCGAGCCCCCGAGTGGGACGGGAGCCCCGGCTAGGGGACCCAGGCCCTCGCGGAGCCGGTGGGGGGCCAGGCGGCAAAGGCACCCAGCTCTCCCCGGCACAGACAGAGCCCGACGGGGCCTGGCTCTCGGTCAGCCCTAGACGGGCCCCCGCACCCCCACCCTCCCGCCCGGCCAGGTGCCCGCCGCCTGCGGGTAACGCACGGCTGTGACGCGGGCCGCCGGGCGCTCCGTGGGGCAGAACACTCGGGCGTCTCACCTGGACAGGTGTCAGCAGACTGGGCGGCCAGAGTGTGGACACACAGGCCCAGGAGCAGCTGGCCAGCAGGCCCCAGGGCTACAGCGACGGCCCCCAGCTTCATGGCCTGTGTTCTGTGACTGCAGCGCGTCCGCTCGGGCAGGGCAGGGGAAGCTGAGCCTGGGCGATGTGCCGCGGACCAGCCCAGCGGCGGCGGGAGATTGAGACAATCTCAGGGGTTGAGTGAGAACGAGCAGAAGGTGGTCGAAGGAATTCGGGCGAGGGACGAAAGAAATGACACACGGACACACTCAAGGGAGAGTGAAAATCTGAGTGCGCTTTATTGGAATCAGCCTTCTCTTTTTATACATTTCCAAAGTCATTACCTCAATATGTTTTTCACAGTATGTGGTTAATCATACGTCAGATTTATCGTAAATGCAGTGAAACATGAATAACATAACATATTGTGATTATTTATCAAGGAATCAAGAACTCATCGTAACACCCCCAGTGGAGGCTTTCTTTAACATTATGATTTCTTACTTTGATTATACATTTTTGTCATATCTTTAACATCATATTTTTATTCTTTCTAGTACTATTTATTATTCCTATAGTTCTACTTGGTTACACACTTGCGAGAAGTCATAGAACCAGTTTCTCTCACCATAATTGAATTTCTTCAGCACAAGACCTAGACTATTAATGATTAACACCATGCCTTGGTTGTGTCTCAACATTTCCCAGACTTGTTTTCCATCAGTTATTTTCCATAGGTAAAAGGTGGGAACCATTAAAATCCCCTTGGGGACTGCGCCTGTCTTAGGTCGTGAGAAATCTTTTCTGATCTTACCCGTCATTGACTGTCCAGTCCAGCACACAGGGGAAGAGGGACTAAAGTACTTTCATAGTACCGCCACTCTTATATTAACGATAAATTGTGGCAATGGTAACTTTGCTCTCTGGGGGAGCAGGAGCCGCCACAGCGATGGCCTCCCCACTCCCGCAGGGACGCCCACTTCCCACAGGCCCTCTGGTTGCGCCAGCGGAGGGAGGAGACAGTCCAGAGGCCCCTTCCGCCAGGCAGGCCCCCCCCCGCCGCCCCCGAGCACGGCTCCCTCCCCGGCGCGCGCAGCCCCAGCCCCTGAATTTTCTAAGTTGCCTCTGCTGAGGTCACCTCAGCTTGTGGTCAGCACAAGGAAAGTATTTTTTTCAAGAGGCAGGGCAGGCCGCTCCTTTCTGCCGGCCACTCCGTGGCCTGGGCCAGCGCGTGCCCTGCCCAGGGACCTCCCGGCCCCAAGGGTCTGCGCCAAGGGTCTGCCCGCTGCGGCTTCAGGGCAGCCCAGGCCCGGCCCCGCTCTTTCCCCAGACAATCCCCAAGGCCTGTCTGGGGGCTGAGGGTGTGCAGGTGGAAGGCGTCTCCTCCCTTCCTGACCGCATGTCCGGAATGAGCCGGACTTTGACGTGACGGGGAGTGGGGGACGCGTGGGCCTGCGCCGGGCCAGGGGCTGCCTGCCCGGCCCCGTTAGGGGACCCGCTGGCGTTGTGCCAAGGCCCAGTGCTGGCCTCACGCCCCTCCATGCAGGAGGCTCGCTGGGCTGCCCAGCACACCTGAGAGTCCCCCGACCCCCGCAGCCACCCCCAGATCAGCGCCAGCTCAGCCCGGCGTGCGTGGGCATCTGCGCAGGCTCTGAACCGTGCGGAAGTGGCTGGTGAGGCCGGGCGGTGACGAGGATGGGGAGCAGGTGCCGATGCTCTATGGTGGCCCGTGTGAGGATGGTGCCCCAGCTGCCCCCCGCCCCCAGGGAGGAGAGCAGTGGGTGTGGTCGGGCCGGGCCGGAGGCCAGCTCCAGGGGTGGTTCTCCATAGCCGCGGCCTCCCGGCCCTGCAAGGTTTCTCTCTGGCAAAATGCAGCCCCCCCCCCCCCCCCCCGTCACCAGGGCTCCCTCTCCCCACCCCACCCCCGCCTGGCCCCAGGCACCCCACCTTCCAGGGCCCTTCCTGCTACAGAACGGCCCCTGGGGCTCAGGGCCCTCGAGAGCAAGGGCCAGGGCCAGGGAAGAGAACCACCCTGGCCTGCCCGGAGGCCAGCCGGCGGCGGGGCACAGGGCACAGGCCGGGAAGACTGGCCTCGGCCTCCCCGACTTCCCCGAGAGGAGGCCCCGGAGAAGCCGCCAGGACCGCAGCCCGAGGACCGCTCGCGCGAGATGGTCTGCGTCAGCCTGACTGGACTTTCCCTCTCAGGAGATAATCACCCCTCAGACTCGCGGCGCGGCAGCTGACGGCACGGCAGGCAGCACCCCCGGAGAGCTCTGCTCCCCACTCCTGGTCTTACCATCTTAGCTCCGGGCGGAGGCAGCCCCCCAGCGGCCACTGGTCTGTGCTGGAGAGACACGGGGGGCGGGTGCCGGGGGTGTGCGTGGAGGCTCAGCTGGGTGTGTGTGGACAGGCCAGTCGGGCGCGAGGGCGGGAACCCACACCCCAGCTGCGGGGCCGGCACGCGTGGCCCTGGCTCAGTTGCGGACCAGCTGCTGCCGCTCGCCGGCCGTGGCGAGACGGGTCGGGGTCACGCGCCGTCTTCTGCGGTGCAGGGGCGGTGGGGCCGCGACAGGGCGCACGCGATCCCCTCTGCTTGGAGCGGCCCCCCAACGTCCACTCGTTGCAGTGGATTGAATGCTTAAACTTGCCCTGCCGAGGGCCTCGTGGTGACCCTGGGCACACGCCACCCCGGGGACGCACTGGGGGACGGAGGTGGCTGCGCGGGAGCCCCGGGCTGGCCTCTGGGCGCCGGCTCCCTGCCGTCGGGAGGCAGGGCTGAGGCTCGGGCCACACACATGGCTCCGCCTTCCATCCCCCCGCCCCCGTCCTGGGCATCCCGGTGACCGGAGCCGAGCCGGACGTGCAGGCCCGAGCTGGCGCGTGCTCACACGCTGGGCCCGCGGTGCTCTCCTTCCACAGAACCTGGCCGTCGAGGCGGGCGGCCCCCATCCTCCCGTGACCCGCCAGGCCCCGCGTCTCCAGGAGGAGGAGCCCAGGGAAGCCCCGACCGGCTGGTCGCTGACCAACCTTCACGGTGGTGGGAAGGGCGAGCTGGGCAGACACGGCCATCTCCGGGGACACTGAGCAGCGCCCGGAGGCTGGTTGCCCACGTCTGCCCAGCAGAGGCCACGCCCAGCCCAGACACCCTTGGGCGCGGGGCCACCAGATGCCGGCCACTCGCAGCGCGGGCCCGCCCAGCGCCCAGCACCCAGCCGTAGCCCCGGGAGTGCGGATCTTGTTTCTCAAGCACCCCGTTTCGGCGACTTCCCCACAGACCGTGTCCAGAAGGGACATTCAAAAGTGACGACCAATAGGAAGTGAAACAAGGTCAGGGCGGCCTGCGGTTCCCTCTGGCAAGATGCAGCCCCCGTGTCCCCTTGCTGTGGCTAAACTGACCGCCGCGTGGGGCCCTGCAGCCCCAGCCTCTGGGCGGTAGGCCCGGCTGCCATGTGACCCCCCCAGCCTCGCCTTGTCCACGGGTGCTGTGACGGAGAATGAGAGGTGAGTGACCGTTCTCCCTGGGCTGTGCCCACCCAGCCCCGCCCTGGCGCCAGCGGACTGCTTGGTCAGGCCTGGCCACGTGGAGGGAATGCCCGGGGCAAGCAGCCCAGGAGGCCAGGCTTCCAGCTGCCCGCAGGCCGGCACGGCTCTCCCGGCGTGCAATCCAGGGCGTCCTCTCTGACCCTGAAGCCCTTCCAGTGGCCCCGGGCGGCCACCACTCACTCAGCTGCCCCGTGGACTTAGCTAGACCCCCTCGCTGCAGAGCCGCCCGGGCTGGCTCCCGAGCCACAGACTTCCTGCTCGAGAAAGCGCTTGGCCTGCGCTCGGGCCGGGTCCTCAGAAGGGGCCCAGCCCCTGCTGTGTGTCAATCCTGCCCCCTTCCTGGACACGGGGCACCCCAGATGGCCCCGGCACACCTGCCCAGCCAACCTGCCGGGCACTGAGAGTAGCTAGATGCAGCCCTGCCCGGCGCTGGGGCAAGCCGGCCGCTCCCCTCCCTCGGTGTTGGGCGCTCAGAGCCTCGGGCCCTCCCTGCACCGCCGTGGCCAGGACAGGAGGAGCCGGGCGGCCGCGCCAGCTTAGACTTTGGCCGCGGTGGCTACAGCAGCCGGGAGAGCAGGAGAGCCGGGCCTTGGGAGGGTCGGCGCGTCCTGCCCCCGAGGACAGCCGGAGGGAGTCTCCAGGACTCAAGCCGGGACCAGCTGGGCATGGATCCTGGGGTCAGCTTTCCCGCCGTCCCGCCATGAGGATGGACGATGGGCCCTGCGCTCCTGAGTGATGCCTGAGGGCGGCGCCTGGGTGGGGTGGGGGTGGGCGTGCGTCGGTGGGCGCACCTGGGCTAGGCCGGGCCTCTAAGGTGGCGTCACGGGGGCGCCAGCAGAACAAGCAGGAAAGGAACCGGCAGGGGAGACGGAGCCGCAGATGAAAGAGAAGCAGGAGCGCGAGAAGGAGCCACGAGAGACGCAGGAGGGCCCAGGAGGAGACTCGCTGGGGCCTGGGAGTCTGCCAGCCCCGGCCCCCGCCCCTGCCTGCCGTGGACCTGGTGAGGTGGCAGTAAAAGCCTGAAAAGCCCGTCTTGCTCTCCTCCACCGTGGGCTCGGGTCAGAGCCCCGCCCTGTGCTTCCTGCCGCTACCGACGACGCTCGGCCCAGGCCCCGGGACAGGCTCCGAGGGGCGAAGGACGTGTTTCCGCAGCCCCCTTGGAGCAGCGGTTCTGGGTCCCCTGAACCCCCCGAGCCCAGCGCCTGCGCGGGGAGCCTGGGCCTCTCCGCCGAGAGTCTGCGCCGCGGGCTCCGGGACGTCTCTCCCGAGAGGAGCAAGAGGAAACCGTTTTGTCGACTGCAGGTAATTAAGTCGCCGCACGGTGACGGGCCCCGCGTTAGGCGATGATTAATCCCCGGACGGCGAGGAGATTCTTCATCTTCAGGCTGCTCCTCCGCGGCTCATCCATCAGCTCGGCCCCCGCGTGCAAGTGCGGGTCCCCCCAGGGGCGGGAAACTGAGCCGCTGAGGCAGCCATGCCTCCCGCCCGCCCCGCCACAGAGTGGGCGCGGACGGCCCGGCCGCGGGTCTCCTCCGAGGGGCCCGCCGGTGTCTCGGTCTCCCCCCGGAGCCGGCACAGGAATCAGTAAAAATGTCATTTTAGATGAGAGAAGCGCGGGCCGCCCTGCTCCGTGCGGGCTGGCGAGCGCCCCTGCTCCCGCGGGCCTTGTTCCCCGGCCGCCCCCGCGCAGCTTAAAGCCGAGCTCCGCGGTGCCCCCAGCTGCCTGCTCCCCACTG